CATCACAAGGCGTAATAATGTCTCAAGCACCACCAGCTTCGTATCCAGACGTCCTTACTTTGACTTTAATGGTATATTTGATGTCGGTGACTTGTTCGACAAGTCCATGTCGTATGACTATACTTCTCTGTCTCTCCCATCGTCCGTAACGCAGGACGTCTCTTGAGCCACGTCCGTAGACGGGGAGAATAATGATTTATGGCCCACTTCTTCTTTTTTTCTTCTCCTATCTTTTTTCCTTCTTCTTCTCACCTCTTTTGATCATTTTGTTTTGATGCTTGGACTCTTTCCCCATTGGATATCCCGAGTGAATGCTTTCGACGACATCTCTGTTTTCCTGTATATTTAACATATTCTTTTATATACGTTAATATATCCATTTTCATCTGCAGGATTATACCTCCCCCAATTGCAATGCATTAGCAACACCGCCATGGGAATCCTTCAGCTGAGCTTTGGGCGCGACATGAGAAACAATATAAAGGTTTCGAATAGAAAAAAGCTCATGAAATAAATAAGGTTGCCGATGATGACTAATACCCGGATCGCCGAGATCGTTTTCTTGGCATCGCGCTTAAGGCTATCAAATTCGACTTTAGCGAAAGGAAAAAGACTGTTTTGTCGGTGTTTCAACGTTTTATGTCTATCGGGCCCGTATCTACGAGCTATTGCCTATTGAACGGACAGTGCTAGAAAATTTGGGCTGACCGCTCTGATCCTACAGGATATCCAACTCGACTGACACAAGCCATGCAGGAATTACTCGGTTCTACGTTACTCCCATCCTCTAGTGTTTCAAGCGGGCATACGGATATGTCATTTACACAAGATATTAAGAATCAATTCGTTAATCATGGTAAAATCTCACACGCCATGGCTAGCTTACATCCTTATTCATCATCACTGTATTCCAATTCCTCATCCTCGGGATCATAAATTCCGCCATGTTCTCGATTAAGATGCTCGTAGATGTCTGTGTTTTGAAAATGGCGTCCGCAGAAATAGCACCATTCTAGCTGGCACTTACGCACTGGACATGTTATATGTGCACACCCGGCAATCTTTTCCGTCATCACTCCACACCCAGGACAGGGCTTTATCCTGCTTACTTTCCTTGCCATAATAGCTTCTCGCATAGCTGCAGCCACCTCAGATTCATGAGCTTCAGTTATTCGCGCGAGCTCAATCTCTTCCTGTTGCTGAACACAGTCTGGACAAGCCCAGTCGGAAACTTCGGGTGGTGCTCCGCGAGCACATTCCCGCTCTATGAACCGCTTTGCTGAAGAACAAGCAACGCACCATGCATATATCCATGTTCCCTTCTCCTCAAGCGCCTTTGCTAGGTTAGCAATAGCCTGGACACCCATTGAGTAGTTTGCCAGGGTTTTGGCGGATGGCAGACGTCGACAGAATGGGCAAGAAAGGGCGCCGGTATTCAGGATTCGCCCTGCCGAATTGAGACCGTACCAACCTGAGAGACAGTCACGGCAGACACGCTGCACGCAACCACGGCGGCCGCAGGCTGGGCTTAGCGCGTCAGGACGGAAAGCAGAGAAACATAGCGAACAGTGCTCTTTGATTGTTTGAAGACGTGAAATAAGGTCCTGGAGTGTGGATATTAAATCCGGAACGTTTTGTATCGTCTTGCCTTTCAAAGTTAGTGTCTTCTTCGTTGTAGGAAACAACGCCATCCGGGACGTGAAGTTTTCACTTCCAACGTTCGAGATGGTATGGTAAAGTGAGCGGCCAGTAAAAGGGCAAACATCTGGATTTTGGCTGTCAGTGATCAACCACGAGTAGGAATTCTCCACTGAAATCTTCCTGGCCGTAGTTTCGACTTCAACTACAGTTTCCCGTCCAGAGTCACAGGGGATGCAGGTGAACTTTGAGGTATTAAGTGAAGAAGGACGGTATTCTGCTGGCCAGATAAACCGGTTCAGACACTTTATGCACTCAATCCAAGGAGCTTCAAGGTGTTTCTTGCGCGCATCGGATGACCCTGTGCTTTGCGCTCTGCAATAATGACACTTTGCCCTCACCTTTAAGGAGGCGACATCATACACCACATATTGCGCTCTGCATGTCTGCACACAGCACTCTACCCAAGTGGCTGGAGTCTCCAGGGCGTCGTCCTTTGAGACTCCAATATGTATTATATCGTTATAGCCTTCGTTCTGGGAGGCGAACACACATAGGCCGCATTTGTCGTTACGATCCATGATACTGACCGATCTTGGGTATTTGCAAAATCGACAGATGACGGTAGGCCCCATGGGTGCCGTAGTCTTTTGAGGAGTCCAGCCAACGTTTGCTGCCAAAGCGCTGTCAAGGTTTACTTCCAGCATCCTATAGGCCACAAGTCGTTCAAATAGCTCCCTGTCACTTGGCTTCAACAGGGTAGCAGGCTTCTTTTGAGGGCTTCCAGGGCTTCCAGGTGCCGCTTCAAGGCTGGCTTGTCGCTTACTATACGTCTTGTCGGCGTTAATCAGCAGATTCAAGCATGGGACAGCCCAGGTCTCGGGGGTTTCGGTGTCGTTCCACCTGTTCCTGAAACTTAGTGCTTCCCGTTCAGCCACCTGAGTGAGCGGTGTGATACCAAGCCGCAGACTCAGGGCTGCAAGAAGCGCTGCAGAGCGGGCAGCCAGCATTGTCCCTGGAACGATAAGATGGAGGAGAACCCTCCAGAATTGACGCTTATGTTCCTTGCTCGCTAGTGCCATGGGGATTTTAGGGACTTGATCCTGGCTTGAATTTGCAATATGCTCTGGCAGCTCTGCCTCGGTTTCGACATATGCTAACTGAGTGAGTGTGCGTCCAAGGCGTCGAAGGACTGAAGGATCGCAGGAGCGGCCAATCTCTAACAGATCTGCCCTGGTAAGGGCAGTGATGGGCTTGCCAGACTCACTCTCTGCGTCTGCGCCTGATAGAGTAAAGTTTAGCGTTGGATCGAGGTAGACGCAGGGAAACCGGTCTTCCTCTGGAACACTATCGATGAGCTCAAGAACCTCCGCGGTATAATCGTATGAGCCTTCAAGCCATATCTTCAAATCCTCTCTATCTTCCGCACTATCTAGCTTTCCCACTTCGGAACTAAAGGCGTCAAGAAGCTCCTGTCGTGAGTCACAGGACCTATCGCTGCAGACTGTTCTCCATAAACTTCCGAAAACCGGGTTGACCGATATCGCCCTGACGTCGAATGCTATGATCTTCTTTAGATGCTTGAGTGCTAGGGATTGGTAGGCCGGATCCGTAGTCCAGGCGGTTGCGAAGCTTGTAAGCGGCACATCCTTCTTTGGGAGAAATCTCTTTGCGATATCAGGGGTCATTGGTGCCCTGGCAACATTATCGTGGATCGGATCCGTATTGTAGTGGACAGAAGGGGTGAGAAAGTACTGTTCTGCTTTTGGATCGAACTCATCCTTGAGCTTCTTGATATTACTGACAGTCTTGTAACGACCCAATGTTGCCAATGCATCTGCTTCGCTACCTTTGTTAGATGCACTGCTACCCGGCTCGACACCCATCCACGATAGTAGCAGATCAACGGTCACTCTAGAGATGGTTACAGGCTTGGAGTCTTTGAGGATCATGCATGCACCACCGGTCATGGTAGATAGGTAATTGTAGTGGCCACAGCTTATCCACTCCATTGAAGGCGCAAGCAAGCAAAACACCTGTACTGCTTTCTCACCCTTGCGCAGAAACGTACATGCCGAAACCCAGTCCACGAAGTGTGGGCCAAACCCGCCGTACGAGGAGGGATCTGAGAGTGCCTGTTTCTCCAGCGAGCCGTTGGGGATGACGGGACGGCTTGTCGTCTGCTTATCCACGACTCCAACATGAGGATGGGCATCTGTATAGAACAATAGTGTCGTCTTTGCGTCCGATCGCATCAATTCGTAGGCCCTTGCCAGCGCCGTCTTTGCGGCCTCAGGTACATCCCAGCCACCGCATGGCTCCAACGACTTTGCCAGGGCGAGAATGTCAGGCCCAGCAGTCCCGGTGGCCTTGGACTCTTCAAGCCAGCCGGACCATTCCAGCAGCCGGGCATCACAGTGGTCGTAGTCTCTATACGCGAGCAGTCCAATGCGAGAAAAGCATCCGGTAAGGGCAGAGATGGAGATGATCTGGGGAATGGAGGTGTTGAGAGACGTGAGATAATAGCCCATCGACGCCGTTGCATCGACCACTATCAGAAGATCATGCTCCATGTTCGCAGAAGATGTATATCAACGGGTGTCTGCAGCAGGTGACGGCTTGTGTTGGAATGAGAAACAGCTGAAGACGTTCAGTATCTTTATACACCTCGTTGGGGCTTGAGTCATGGTTGACTCAAACCCCAAGCTGCTGCTGCGCCGCAAAACAAGGCCTGGCGATACGGAAGCGACCTGTCGCTGTCCAGCTACATACTGACTCACTCTGGGTACCAAAAAGCCAGCCATCCCAGTCAAAGCCGGCGTGGTGGTTGGATGTTCTCGCTGAGGCTGAGCGTAAGTGGCTGTCGGACCGGCGTATGATTCGTTTCGGAGGCCAAACAGGGAAAAGGGGCTTGCACGTCTCAGCATTTATGGAGAACCGAGGACAGAGGAGGTAGAAGAGCTGCCGATGAGTCAAGTGAACAGTTAACTAGTGTGGCAAGGTTATGAGGTAGCTACATGGTGCCTAACTGTCATATCCACTAGCTACAACATGCAATTCGCTCTCCTGGAACTGATCAACTCTTCCGCCTTTCGCAGCCCTATGAGCATACCGTTTCGGCCGGTTTGTCGCAGAGGTAATTGGGGTAAATAGAACCAGGGCTAAGGAGAACTGTTTTTACCAGTTCAATAAACCCAAAACAGAGCAAGTAAAGAAGATGAGTATAAGAATTTGTAATTCTGACCTGAATTAAAGACTACCGCAGTTAGTGTACCAAAATCAGATTCAATACAATCTTCTGGAGCAGCTGAGATTTCGCGTTGGGTCCAAATATTTCGAGGAATGCGCTGATACTGTTTGAAACCAGTGCTTCTGCTTCCAAAACATCGGTATATAGTAGTGTATGGTGATACTAAATAGTTACCATTGGTCTGGGCCACGAACAAACTTGCTCATATATCGTGGGAAGCTGTAAGATGCTTTACCGTCCCCTGATCTCCAGTCGTGGACAACATCGTCCCAAGCTTCGTCGGTGCATAAATGATACCAACGGGTCTATATCCCGTATTAAGTATTCACAGCCATGTCCGGCAATTAAGGTCTCTCCATGTTTTCCAGGTATTTCTGGTGGTACCTCTGGTGGAGTGTCATAGCGGGTAAATTATTGAAGATCAACAGCCTAGTCCGTTAAGTCAAGGAAATTGAGGCTCTTTCAACAATTGCTACGGCTAGCTTTGTTCTCTTCACTCATATAAGCTACCCATTCGAGGTCATCATATATCAGAATGTTAGAGCCACTTTCATCCTTGAATGTTCTGGCACCTTTGCTTTTCTTTAAGATTTCCTGAATTTCAGCCTTCGATATATTCCCGGCAGTCCGAGTGCGCTGACCAGGCTTAGCTCCGGACTCGACTCCAACATATCAAAGTAAAGGGCCTGTACACCCCTTTTCTACTATACGAAATAACCGGCTGTAGCTGCTGACCCCAATTACAATCTTTGACGCTGGGATACCCGCCTTAGTTATCATGGGAAGAGCAGTTATTGTTTCCGTCACATTTACGTGTGAACCAAGACAATTTACCCTCTGGACAGCCGGGACTAGAGTATGAGTTCCAATAACCCCATTAACCGTGGAGATTGCAGGTCACATAGACTATGTAGTCAACAACTTGCGAAATTTTGTCAATTGGAAAGGCCTTTAGGTACCAGTATGACGCTGGGGCGGCAATGGAGAGCGATTTTCCCAGTAACTTCTGTTTCAGGATTAATAATTCAAGATAATCAGGACCATTTATGGGTTCAGCAGGTGAAATTTCTGGTAGGTCGGGCGCCCCAGGATATTCCCAATCGAGATCTATTCCGTCCAATTGATGTGGCTTGACAAAATTGGCCAAATTTGTAGAAAGAGTCTCACGATTGCCTGACTTGACGCCTTCGCGAATATCCAATATGAACTTGGGTCAGTTGAGGCGGCCCATCCGCCAAATGGACATGGGTTATTGAAGGTCCAATATCCAGTGTATGTAGCGCAGGAGCCATCTAGATTTAGCTTAGGTCTCATATCCGGCAAGGTGCCACTGAGCAGCGGACCTACTGGCCAGGCCTTAACTTGGAACAGAAATCCTTCGCTGCGTTATATTTTGTGATGCCATTCCCACTTATATTGCTTTGAGTTGCTCGCCAGCCAATACGTTGTTCCTATCAACAACCTGCTTCAAAGCAAGTTCACCCCGAAACGCGTGACAGGTGCGGACTATGGATGGCATTTTATCTGCTAGTTGATTTCGTATGGAAAAGTCAAGGAGTTTTGGCCTTTCCTTACAGGCTAGCAACTGGTTGATATCGTGATAAAGTGTCCAGTTGTTTAGGCTATTTCCAGATATTTCACATGATTCAGGGCACAGCTCATTAGCCAACTCGCTGAAAAATGCTTGGGATTATTTGTACAGGATAATCTCAGCGCTGGCAATGATCCATAATGATACGCGAGAAGGGCCGTTGCCCACATATTTGGACAAACCATCCCTAGGTAGTAGTTGATGCCGAGAGATCTCAAAAATAAAGTGGGTAATTGATTGAAGTAAAAGACAAAAGTTATAGGAATAAGTTTCGTGGTTGTCGTACTAAAGACCAAAGGATTGGAAGACGGGGAGTAAAGCAGGCTTAAATAGCGTTATCACCTCTCAATCCTAGGTTGCCCTTTTCTTTGCATTCAAACTGTTCATCGGCCAGAGAGCGTAAGACCTGCTTTGTCATGGGTAACAGTGAGGCAAAGAGATGCCGCTACTTCCATTATGTATTATGTATGTACCATGGTGGTGGTTAACATATATATATGCAGCATGCAGGCAAATGCGGTGGTATTTCCTCTTTAGAGCAATCTACTTAGTAGAAGGGCTTTTGTCGGTAATCAAGATGAACCAACCGGATAGCATTTCCGGCGCCGCGGGGAGCACATCCACGATCTGCCGCGGTAACTTTTCGTTTAGCACTGAGGATTCCGAGGTTACCACAGTACCCGGACCTTGCTTAGCATAGCAACAAAAAGCAAGGGACCTCGACCAGGCACTCGAGCACAATTGCAATGGCCTTACCCCCTCTTTACCATTGACATAACCCAGGGGTATAAGATTGCCAGTGCCACCGGGTAAAACTATGTGAAGATGAGTTTTCACGTATCCCTTTCCTTAAAAATATACCACTCTCGTAGGTCAAGTCAATATATCAAGTATTTCACCTTATGGAGTTGTCGTTTTGGCGTTTTGAAAGATCCGCAAAAGTTTGCGCTTAAGAGAAACCTTTTTGCCGCTTTAGTTTTGGTCACGTGGTGAAACTCCATATTTTTACAACTGCTTAAAAAAAGATCTCGAATGCAGAGCAATATTGGAGTTACGTAACTTTGACTAACATCACAGTAATAAAAACAGGGGAATAATCTTGAGAGCAATTTTAATCTCATGGTCAGGGTGGCGGACGTGTAGTCACGACCACACCTCGCTTATGCACCAACTTCCCCAGGGAACAAGTGAGACAATTGCTAGGGTTACCACCTAGGGTAGATAGATATCAAGCCTGAACTCTATGGGGTATTCCTTGAGATGTGGCTCTTCCAGCAAGTCGAAATATAACCTTTCCAAGCACGGAGAGCCGGACGCGGCTTATCCTTCGTTACATCACTGACGCTGCTGCCGGGATAACCTGAGGCATTTCCTCCCTGATAAAAGCGCCAAACCCCTTACAACGGTTTTTCTTTACCTGCATACACAACTACATTCCTCACACTCCAATCCGCTGCTAGCAACACATATCCAGCCATGTCAAGTATTCTCTTGCTAGTCTTCCTCTTCTCGGCCTTCTGTGCATGCCTACATGAGTCGCATGGGATTCAGCTTGACGTTGTATTCCCGCGAGATAAAGCAACATACAAGCCAGTCTATCCGTTTCCGATCGTTTTCGCCTTTCATAATCTCAGCAGAATTGCTACAAAAGACGTGCAATTAATTTGGCGGCTAGTGGGCTTAGATCCTCCGCCGTCCCCGGGCATCCAGGACTTTGGCCGCAGACTTTTAGATCACTCATTATTGTCATACCCAGACGAGCTTTTAATCCTCAACTCAACCAGGGAGATCCTTAATTCAACTACGGGCACCTTTAACCTTAACTACCTCTTTGAAATCGACTATGACTGTTTCGACAACATAACACGTCCAGAGTATAATAGGACATATGGTCGTGGGGGTACAGTGCAGTTTAAGCTTAGCCATGACGGAGATATACCCGATATCCTATCGGCTGGCCCATATGCACAACCTCTGCTATCCATAGGCTATGAAGGAGATTCGACAAATTCGACTGGAGGTGTCTGTCATTCAATTTTCGAGAAGCCAGTTCAAGCAAACGCTCTAAAAATCGATGAAGCTCTTGCCTCTTGTGTGTCTAGTGCAATGATGGCTACAGTTTCTTGTACCGCTGGCTCATGGCCAAATAACCTTACCGATTTGCCTTCGCACTATCCATATGAATGCCCGTCAAAGTCTGAAATTAATATGTCCGTTGGCAGAGATACAGTCGGTGTCATGTCTATTGTAGTCCTTGCTGCTACGCTTGGCTTTTTAAGAGTCCTCCTATAAAATACTCCTTTTAACTTATACTTATGAATAATACGATTAGCTTGCATTAATACAAATTTAAGATTGAGTAAAAGGCCTGTAGATATAAAAAAGTACCTCGAACATCTAAAGCAGAGTTGACCACACAATTACTGACCGCATAGCGTCATAAATCAAAAGGCCGAGCTAAAAATAAGTCGGCAAGTCTGCGGTTTATGGTACTGTCAAAAAGTCACTGAAAAGTCTGCGACCCTACACTTCGAATTAAAAACCCATACCTATACCTATACCTTACGAGCATTAGCTCTATAATTTTTACGGATTTCGAAAGCGTCCGTAGGTAAACTAAAATATCACCTATGGCACAAGACATTACCAGTTAACCTCTTTAGCTTTACGGTTTAAAGGTCGTAAAGGTTATCTTCTAAGTACCATGGAAGATAGATTGAGGGCTTTCGTAAATGCTAAGATTGAAAATGTATCCGGCATTAGCCTGCTTCCCCAAAGTCATAATGGCCAGTTTCTGAAGCGTGGGCTGTGGCCCCTTTTTCTCCCACAAAGAGTCCTCCGCAGACGTTGCATTTAACTTCGAAGTTGGAGGTATCGGTGTAGTAATGTTTCTCTTTTAATATCCGACATAGCTCTATCGCTTTATCTAGAATCACCGGGTCCGACGAGTCGAATATCCTGGTGTCGAACTCTGGTGGTGCATAGGCATGAGTGTAAGGCTCATCAGACGGTGACAGGGCAACTGTGTCATAGTGTATGCCTGAGTATACTACGACGCAACGGGTAGGACAACCCTCGTTGAACCGGTCTATCCGTAGGGTCTGGACGTCAATCGAACATATCTCAATCTCAAAATGCTTGCTAAGGATGCCAAGTTCAATTCCACCGCCCCACGCATTCTCAGTCTGGATCCACCGACAATAATCGTCTGGGGACTTTTCCAGAACCGCGGCAGTATAAAAATCTGGTTGCTCCTGAATAGTCTGGGCGATGATAGATCGTAGTTCGGTCATTGCATCCATCGCGCCTATGACTGCACTGCCAACAGCACGAAAAAGGCACGAGTTATCATCAGGCATGACTCGAAGAATAATTGTTCCCCCATGCTCAGGAGATGGAACCTCAGGAGCGTTGTCCTCTATACTGCTTTTTTTCTTTGCGAGGGAAAGGGGTGTAGATGACCGCTCTCTCACTTGCTGCTCTGATGGCTGTTGCTCTGCGGAGGATAATGGCTTGTCCGCCGGTGCTTCCCGCTGGCTCACTATGAGCTGCTCCCCATTAAGGTTGACGCCGATATCGACGACTTGTGTCTTAGCATCAAATTGGTTTAGGGTAAGAGGCTGTGGTGGATATCCATATTTTATATCATATGATGTTAATGAGGTCGCTTGGCTGATGCTTTGAAGAAGCTCCTCTACCGTCGCAGTGTCCTCTAGTGTGACCGTAGACTGGCCATTAGGGCCACGGACTCGGAGTCTCATATCTCGGATAACCTGTATACGGAGCTAGGACTGTGAGAAATTCCCAGTATAAGTGCTAGCAGTAATAAATGACTATGTTAAGGATGGTTAATCTTTGTCGTTTGTCCATCTCGCCCATTTTTTTTCTGATATACTTGCGGATAAATATAAATCCGAAGTAGATCACATGACTCTAGACGCGACTAAGAAAAAAAGAAATCAAGAACGACTTCAGTCACTTCTCAGCGACTTTTTCTCTCTCCGTAGAGGTTTAGTTGTTGAATACGCTGAATCATTCTTTGGTCATGGCGGAAGATAGCTCTGGGGGTGCGCTTAGCATCGAGAAGCAGTTACACGCGGCCGTGCAAGAACCAGCGGCAGATAGCTCTGGGATAATGGAATCGATCGAGAGCTCCAAGGCCACCGATGCGCCTGTCAGCCAAGTCACCGACGTGCAGTGGAGGGCCATGTCCGATGTCCTTATGAATATATACAACTACAGGGAACAAGAGTATGTTCATGCGATCCTGCCTATGTCATCTGTCTTTTTTTATTCTTAAGCTAACTTGGTTGGACACAGTGGCCATGACCCTTCGAAACTCTTTCAGAGGAGCGTCAACAAGCGCAATGTACCGGATTATTACGACGTGATCAAGGAGCCGATGGCCCTCAGCGTGCTAAAGCAGAAGATTAAAACCAAGTCCTATATGCACTTTGCGGAGTTTGTTAGGGACTGTGCTTTGGTAGGAATAATATTGCTGTTGCCGTTAGCCGTGGTGGATTGTGCTAACAAGGGGTCTTATAGATCCCACATAATGCGCAAACCTATAATCGGCCGAAATCGATGGCTTATGAAGATGCGCTCGTTATTAAAGTATGTTGCTTCCTTTAGGATACACATAAAAAACATTGCTAAACATACAACTTTCTCAGGATGTTATGATATCCGAATTTCAAAAGCTCGCAGAACAAGATATCATCACCCCCGAAACCGCTGAACTCCCTGATCTTGGTGAAATCCCCGAGGCAGATCCTCTCCCCGCTGAAGAGGAGGAGGAGGAAGAGGAGGAAGAGGAAGAAGATGAAGAAGCCGAGGATTCAGATGATGATGGTGCGCGACGAAAGCGTAAACGCGGGCCCCGTGTCGGTTCGAAACGTGAGAGCGGAGCGAAAGACGACCTTCATAAGGGAGCCGATCTCGATGGACGCAAGAAGCGTGGCCGCCCCCCTCGAGTCGACACCCCTATGGAAGCCAGGATCAAGGCCGTTCTCAAGGGAATCCGCAAACTCAAAGACAACAGTGGCCAGATGAAGGTTCGGCATTTCGAGCGTCTACCGGATAAAGGCGCCTATCCGGATTACTATGTGGAAATAAAGGAGCCGCTGGCTATAGATCTCATCAAGAGGAAGTCCAAGCGGAAGAAGTACACCTCCGTCGACCACTTCATGAGGGACGTCGACGTCATGTTCAACAACGCAAAAGCTTATAACCTTCCGGAAAGCCAGATATACAGAGATGCCGTTGATCTGCATCGAGAAGCGCACAGGCTTGCAGAGCAAGAAAAGAACAAGGCGGACAGCGAGTACTTGATGGAAGACGGGCGACTGCCCTTACCGAATGGTATTTCATACAAGGATGAGATCTGGCGGGTTGGTGACTGGGTTCACCTTCAGAATCCAAATGATGCTACAAAACCTATTGTTGCCCAGCTATATAGGACCTGGCAGGACCCTGAAGGAGGTAAATGGATCAATGCCTGCTGGTACTACCGACCTGAGCAGACGGTCCATCATTTTGAGAAACATTTCTTTCCAAACGAGGTCGTCAAGACTGGCCAGTATCGGGATCATAGGATAGATGAAGTTGTTGACAGATGCTTCGTCATGTTCTTCACACGATACAATCGTGGACGGCCGCGAGGACTCCCACACAATAAAGAGGTCTATGTTTGCGAAGCCAGATATAATGAAGAAAAGCACAAGCTGAACAAGATCAAAACATGGGCAAGTTGCCTCCCAGACGAGGTGCGAGAGAAGGACTATGAAATGGAGATGTTCGACGCCCCCAGGAAGATCAAGAAGATACCTAGCCCCATCAGACACCTTCTCAAGGAGGATGCAAAGGAGACAGATGATCTTCCAAAGCCTACCTGGGGAGCTGAAAATGCACCGCCCATCGTAGGAGCGGTTCACTGCCGCCCCCGTGATGAAAATGTGAGTGATGGTCTTGTACAATATCATAATTGCTCAACAAATATACTGACCTGTATTTTTCCCATTCAGGAATCCCCTCCCCCAGAGCCAACGCCGTCGCCACCTCCGCCACAGCTTCACCCACATCCACCTTTGGCAATGCCGAGACAGCCTTCGTTGCCTCAACCCCATCCCCCTATGCAACATATGCCTGGCCAGGATCATCTCCGCAATAACTCTATTCCACCCCTCCCCGGCCGTCTACCCCATCCTCCCCATCTCGCTGCTACCCCTCAAACCCCCATGATGCCAGGCAGGCCACATCAATATAACCAAACACCGCCAAATATGCCTGTATACCCAGTCAACCACAACCGTAACCCTCCAGCTCTCCCACAAACGCCACAGCCTTCATACCAAGCCCCTCAGCCAGTACAACCTTACTCAGTTCCTCATAATTTCCCTTCTTACCAAGGCAACCGCCCTCCTCAAGCATCCATCCCTCCCCCTATTTACAACCCCAATGCACCGCGGAGTGTAGAAACCTTCCATCTTCGTGACGGGCTAGATCAATCAATTCCGAAAGAGATACGAGACCAATTCCAGCAAGACTCCCAAGGCCGAGTTATTTTCTTCAGTATCCCACCGCTGGATGTGGTGCCAACCGGCCACCAGGGGTTAAGCCATTCGATCAAGTACCTTGCAGCTAAAGAAAGACGACAAACGCTAAAAGATGCCAACGGCAGCAAAGCAGCCGGGGACACCGAGGAGCCTCAGGCAAAGAAACGAAGGACTGAGACTCCAGCTGCGACGGAGAACGGAAAATCAGAGAAGAAAGCGAATTTTGAAGCCGAAGCTATGAAAGTGATTGCAGAATCGATTTGCAAAAGCAATGCAGACTTCTATCATTTCCATTACGGTGATCAAGCCGCGGCTGTTATGAAGGAAGACCTTCGAACTCTTGAATCTAGATGTGTTACGAAGCCTCCCCAAGCCAAAGAACCTATGTTTGTCTCATGCGAGCCAACAACAAGCTGCAGGGGGAATTTTAGGAGCTCAAATTGAGCTTGGGTCCTGGCCTAATTCTATGGACTAAGACTCCAGTGTACGTTTAGATTCAATACTAATGACGAGCATGCTGTTCTCTGAATATACCATTATCTTCGAGTAAAATTCATCACCTTCATCTGAAGTCTGAAGAGCTTGGTGTCCATGTTTGTTTTGTTTGTCTTACACTTTCGGATAAACATTAATAACAAGCTTTCGGATACTCGTTTTTCCGTAAATTTGTGACTAATTGCTTAACTAATCATTAATAAACGCGTCGATAATTGGTTAGTCGCGTCGAGACACCAAAAGATGCAGACGCGCGACTATTAACAGACCATCAAGATTGTTCTTCAGCTTCTTCCTTTCACTCTTCTCCTTCAGGCTGATATGTCTTTACGATAGGATAAGACGGCCCCAATAAACTCGAATTTATGCTTTACTAATATCCTATATCTCTATCTGCAATAATGGCCACCTCCCCGCGCACAGTGCGCTCCCTTACACCGAGCAATACACCAAAGAGCATCGGCGGTTCCCCTATCAACAATGGCAGCTCGCCAGTTATTATGACTCCTGGACGAAAGATTAAAGCTATGCTTGCCGCATTTGATACCGATTCAGAGTCGGACACTGCCGTATCAAAACCCAGCGCTAGACCAAGTTCTGAGGGGCCACCTGCTCCAATGGCGGAGGGAGAAGATAGTGAAGATGATCAGGATGATGAACTACCGATAGCCCCACGCGGTCGACTAGCTGCTAGAATGCATGCCAGCATGCATTCACAGACATCGCCAGCATCTGACCACAAGAACACATCAACACAACGAGATCAATCAAGTGTTCTATCCAACCAGAAAGAGATGTCGGACCCGGATTCCGGGTCAGATTCAGATGATGGAGACATTATTTCATTTAGAAGAAGAGGGGCAGCCACACGATCCAGGGAGTCATCTTCCCTCTCACTAAATAATGCCGCAAGACGGTCACCATCACCGTTGTTTGTACCAATGGATTCACCAAGCCCTGTAAACAAGGCCGCTCAACCTGGTACAAAGTCACCAGTAGCCACACCACCTATATCCCGCCTTCAGTCTCTTGTCAATGAGAAACGGATGAAATTAAAGCAGCAAGAGCAAGAGATACTTGATAGAGAAGGGAGGACACAGCGGGCGATGGGGTTGAATAGTGAGGGAGATGGAGAAGAGGACGAGGAAGAAGACGACGAAGCGGTTAAGAGACTAACACAACAGCCACGACCTATGAGAAAAGCAAGTAAAAAGGCGATACTTGACATGAACCGTGAGACACAACGAATGGCGCGCAATATGCAGCTAGCACACGAGGCTACTACTAAGAAGAAAATAACCATCGACAGTTTCTTGGCCAGATTCAACCAGAAGGTATCCGCTGCTTCTAATAGCGGGTCTGTGTCCGATACCCCTGCTCAAACCTCAGATACAGAGGCCCTACATTCTACACCTCCAACTTCTCCAGTTAGAGACACACCGCAGGAGAAAATGGTTGACAAACCAGGTTTAAAGAAATCAAGCTCGAACATAGAGGCACTTTTGAAAGAGGATATGGAAACTACCATTGATGACCTGTTGGCTACTGCAGACGAGCTCCCGGTACCTCAACCAACTCAAGCTCAGCAACCTTTGAAAGAAAAGCCCCCCACCATACCCACTGTTCCCAGCGTGGATAAGCCTGGCCGACAGATCCAAGTCCGGTTATCCCGTGAAGTTATTGCCCGGAACCAGCAGCACGACTCAGATTCAGACCTCGAAGTAGTTACCTCTCCACATAAGGCTCGCCGTTTAGCGCTCTTTGAAAATGTTACCACCCAAGGCTCTCATAAAATATCAAACTCGCTACGCACGTTAAAAGCATTGGCACAATTGCAATCGAGCCGGAAACCACAACCTATGACACAGGTTGAGCTTGATGGAATATTACTCCGCAAGGCTAGAGAGCAGGCTGCACAACAAAGAGAGGAAAAAATCGCTGCCCTCAGAGCTAAAGGTGTCGTTATCCAAACCGCTGAGGAGCGCGTTCGTGGCGAGGAAGAGGTTGAGGATTTGGTGGAGAAGGCTAGAGAAGAGGCTGATCAGATTGCAAAGCAAGAAAAGGCGGCTTCAAAACGCGCCACAAAGTCGAATGATGACGGCATGCAGGATATAGACAGCGATGAGGAGGAGGAATATGCTGACGACGTTGAAGCTAACTCTGAAGACGAAGATTCAGAAGACTTAGGTGGAGACGACACAGACATTGATAATGACGGAGAGGACGAAATTGCCGAAGAGCAGAATGGGCAACTATTCGATGATCAGGTAGAAGGTACCGAGTTAGACGCTGGTGATGACGAACAAGTTGAAGAACAGGACACTGCCAAACTGAGTCTCCGGCAGAAGAATAGATTGAAACTTGTTGTCAGTGACGATGAGGACGATAATCCTGTCGACTCTCATGTGCCCGCTACCCCTAAACCGCAAATTCCCAATCTCAGATCACCAGTTACTCCGCTCCTAGGTTTATCTCAGGCTTTTGCTGCAACTTTGGGGAATAGCCAGGAGGACTCACAGGAGGACTCTCTGGCGCAGCTACGTAAGATGCCTGGTATAGATCTTCCTGTGGCCGAGCTGTTTGATTCAGCTTCGCAAGGCTTTATGCGTGAAAATCAAAGCCTGGAAAGAGGTACTCTTGATATATTCGCAGGATTCGCGGAGACAAATACCCCTGCAGCTGATTCTCCAAGTGTCAAAACCTTTACGGAGTATTCGCAGATCCCAGATCCCACCCAGGATAAGGGCTTTGTCATGTCACCATTTGACCAGCAGAAACGATTCCGAACAGCCCCGTCTACCATTGCTACCTCAGTGATAGCTTCCAACGAAGCTGACTCTCATAAGGAAAGAAAACGCCTTAGGCGAGGTCCGGTCCCCCAGGGCCCGGATTCTGACAATGATAACGAACACCACCCCAAGATTAATGCTTTCAAATTAATGAAAAAGAAAGCTAATAAACCGTTTGTAAAGGATAAGAGTAAGGCAAAGGAAATGGTTGAAGAAGCTGCGGAGGAATCTGATGATGAATATGCCGGTCTTGGAGGTGCAAGTGACGAGGACTCCGGATCGGAGGATGAGTTTGATAGGCAAATGATTAATGATAACAGTGGGGAGGTGGTGGATGAGAAAGAGCTGGCAGCCATGAACGCGTATGTACTGCACAATCCAATTACATTGAGGTTGATATATGAATCTAACAAATGTGCAGTCACCATGAACGTGAGCGAGACGAATTTCAGGTCAACAAACTCATGAAAGACATCACCACTGGGGCGCTACGCAGGAAACGTGTTGGCGATGCGCTAGAACTATCAGATTCCGATGATGAGCGTATTTCCCGGCGGCGAGCGGCTAAGAGAAGAGAATTTATGAAAATGCGAAAGGCCCTACTTGCTGACGAGAAGATCGGTAAAATTGCGGAGGACCCAAAGAAAAAAGCTTTCATGAGGACTATCGAGGATATGGACATCGATAATGACTCTGATTTCCTGGAAGAAGGCGAAGATACTGAAAATTACGTTGCTTCCCAGGAGAGCAATAACAATAGCAATGAAAACAGCCAGAAATATGGTGATTCTGGTAACTCGGAGGCTAGGAAACGCCCATTTGGTGTTGTTTCTGCTGATTCATTGACCGGACTACCTACTAAATCCCGACGATTGGCTCACAAAGCAAGCATGAGGAAACCTCTAACACTTGCTGAGATACGCGAATCTGTATCGTTCTTGATCGACGGTCCTAATACTGGTTCTTCGTTAGAAGCTCCCCTTTCAAGCAACATACAAACACATAATACATTGGCTCAAGGTGACCATTCCGGTGGTATTGAAGAAGCAGATTTCGTTGATAATGACGGCATCCCTCCGGCAGGTGACGGTAGCCAAACAGATACAGCAAACAATGATATTCAACCCCGTCGGCAAAGGGGTAAAGTCGTTGACCGGCTCGCACTCCGGCGTCAAGCATCTTCTAATGCAGCGTCGAGCGGCAAAGTTGCCTTCCACTCTGGAGCGAACAGCACTGGACCCGAATTCAAGCTTCCTCCTTTCTTGCAAAGACGGTCCTCATCCGGCTTGTCTATTACGTCTACGAAATCTTCTTCAACATCGACAAGCTCCGGTTCTTCAGTAGTAGTTACGGGGTCTGCGGGAGTACAAGGTGGCAGAAAGGGCGCAGTGAATTATTACGCTGCTGCAAGGGAGAAAGAAAGAGAGCTACAGCTCAAGAAGGGTTTAAAGAGCTCTGGCTCTTCTAGTTTAGTTGCTCAACGAATGAAGTTAGGGAGCGGCCTAAGCGGGCTGTTAAGTTCTAAGGTTAGGGAGTGGGAATGATGAAAACCTCCCTTAATGGATGAATATATAGCTCGTTTTGGATTTGTTATATCAGGAGTCAATGGTTGGCGGGGGTATAAATAAGTATGATTGAGCATTCCTTATCAAAGTCTAGTATTGTTTATTTTCAGTCCAGTATATCCCACTCAACGCCCACCAGACATGCCGAAGATGCTTTTTCAGTAATTTTAACATCATTTTCCCTAGAAATTGTCAAATCAATCTCGATCTCCCAAGCTAGTCCTCTTCTGATCCCAACATAATCGCCGGTTTGTAGACTCGAAAAACCAGGGTTTGTCCGTGAGGTTACTTGCAAAGGATGGTTAAATAATAGAACCTGGTGGGCTGAAAGTTCTGCCTCTGCACCTTGTTTGCGCAAGGTGGCCATTATGAAAGGAGCTGGGTGACCAGCTGAAGCGCAATGAGCTTTACACCGAGGTTGACCCCTGCAGTGCTCCATCGAATGCTTCAACGAGGCAATTTCCCTAGTAAGGCAATACCTGTCTGAAGGGTTGATTTGGCTTGCGTCGGCATCCTTAGCACCTTGGAATGGGCTCTCTGATGGAAAGAGCATCGAACCTGGCGTAGCATGAGGAGTAACTAGGCGTTTGGCCCCGAGCTCGAATATCCAATTTCGGACTTCCGCCGCCATACCCTTAGGAACAAAATCCGGACTTACTAGAGAGCCTGCACGAACACGCTTTGTACGGCATGCCAGTGGTGAGAATGGGATTGGAGTGGTTATAGGGACTGCTCCTTTCTTGCCATTTGCTCCATCGGGGGTAGACGGGAGAACAAATCGCGGTTTCTGCCGTGGCGTAGATTCAGGGCCAATTACATTATGTATAAAGGCCTGAGAGTTAGTTTGATTCCCTGGAGTTGGAGTATCTGTTTGCCCCAGTTTGGCCACAAATAGAGGGTGTCTGGCTGATAATGATGCCTGGGAGCCCGGTCTTGGAGGGAATATCTCCCGTCGAGGAGGTGTAATGAACTCTTCTTCGTGTAGCTCTGAGGGCGGACTCATCTGGTCTCCCGCAAACACGGTGGACGGACTTCCCGGAGACGAAGATGTAATAATATCAACTCCGGGAATGCTCCTGACCCCCAGATCACCATCCACAGAGGGTGATCTAGAGAACTGCCGCCGCCTCTTTGTTCTTGGGAGGGTTGGAGAAAGTGAGAGCAGCATTTCATCGTCGTCGTCGTCGTCATCGTCATCGTCGGTTATGGTTAGATCATGTTCGCGGCGTGGCGAGATGCCTTGGTCATTTACCGTTTCCGAATCTGAATCACGAATTACTTCCCCATTAACAGCGGATGAAGGTCTTTTTAAGCTGGGAGCATTCTCCGGATCGTCCTGAGTGATCTCATCATCCGTTGCGGGTCCTTGAGGCTGGCTACTACCGCCGCTGCCGAACAGGAAGTGAGGAGTTGATGCGAACTGAACATTCAGGCCCTGAGATGGCGGTGGCCCCAAGCGAAACCGCGGAGTCCGAGTCTGTAGCTGCGTAGGATGAGCCCTGATGCATTCAGGGTATTCATCCTCGGGCGTCTGACGCGCTTTCGCTGATGTCTGCTATATGGGAGTTCAATGAAGTGCATTTCAACAATTCGTTACCGCTAGCTTACATTCATATGGCATGTTATATTGCCTCAGAAACTAGCTCCACTGTGCTTGTCCTGGTATTATATATTCATCTCATGTTCTTATCCCATCCAATACAATCAACTCGATATAAAAAAATGTTCATGATGTTGGCACGAAAAACGCGACGTTCAATTAAAGTTGAGGCTCCGCCAAACCAGCCGAGGGAACTTTGAACTGCAAAGAAACTTCATCGTTCATTCGACGTATCAATAAACCTCCCAATATTCGCTGAATCCACTACGAAACTCCTTGGTAGGAGACTGTGCAGCTTCAACGATGCCAGCTCTTCGCCCACACCCTCGGAGTATTCTCTTGACATTAGATGCATTCAACACGATTTTCCACCCTCGCCAACACGTTGCACTCCAATACACCCAAGTCGCAAAGGCTACAGGCTTCATATCCCCAAGTGTCTCACCAGAAACAGTACAAGCTGCATTCAAGGTTGCTTATAAACGCGAAAGTGCTTCAAGGCCGAATTATGGAAGGAATACACCGGGTTTTGGAGGGCCAAGAGAGTGGTGGGCGAACATTATACGGGATTGTTTTGCTCAAGTTCACATGGAAGAAAGGCGGAGAGAGAACACCTTGGAAACAGGAGTAGTGCGGGAAGTCCCTGATTCATTGGTGACAGAGCTTCTTCAGCGATTTGAAAGCAAAGAAGGGTATGCTCTATTTGATGACGTGGAAGAGTTCTTCGGGCGGCTGAAAGCCTGTAAGAGGGAACTGCAAGAGAAGAAGAAAGCTGGCTGTATAGAGAGCAGTGGTATCGAGAATATCATCGTGGGAGTAATTTCTAATTCAGATGATAGAGTATCTTCTGTCTTGAACTCTCTGGGACTATCGGTTGGCAATGCTTGGGCGGATAACGGAGAACTGCTACTTCGTGCTGCTTCGTCAGCTCCTACTACAAATGCGGCTGAAGCCGAATTGAACGATATTGATTTTATAGTTACGAGTTATGAGGCTGGAGAGGAGAAGCCACATCATCATATCTTTGACATTGCCAAAACCAGGGCTAAAGAGCACCTGTTAGCTACGGATCCATCGTATGAGTTAAATGATGACTGGAGATGTATCCATATCGGAGATGACTACGGTCACGACTACAAAGGAGCCACCAATGCTGGCTGGGAAGGCTTCCTCTTACTCAGAGATGGGATGGACTATCTCTCCGGTACAAATCACCAGGCAATAGACGGTGATGTAAAGTCTCTCCAATCCCTAAATGAGCTGTATTCGTATTTAGGCCTGAGATAAGGACTCTTTAGTTCTTTTTTCATATTTACCTATGTACATCATTACCGAGGCGGCCTGGTCTAAGCTATAGAGTTTCCTTCGGCCACAATACTCAGTGTATCCAGTGCAGTTTTACATGCCCACTTCACCAGCTTCTTATCCCGTTTCGAAGATACCACGTCAGATTTGGTGACGATCTTCCGGATAAAGTAGCGGAGTCCTGCAACGACTTGTGGTGTCTCTGTGGTTTTCATAAAGATGGCCATCAGAGTTTTTTCATTGTACCCGGTTTCACCGTTTTCATCCCCTTTAGCCTTTCTATGTGATTTCTGCTGCGATTGGATCATAATTGTTATCAAGAGGGTTTCGACAAACATCTTGGTTTTCGGCTGTAGGTACGGGAAGTCGAGGATTTTAAGGATGCCCAAGGACAAACTTCCCTCCGCGATTAGACTGGCAAACATTTTGGCCAAGTTGAATGTAGCTCGTGTGCTTAGTGCATTTTCATCATTTTCGGCATCGAAACTGCCATCGTCACCGTCCTCCCCATCCAGGTGGCCTCGCTCCCCCATCTTTTTGAAGATGTCCCATAATGAAAACATGAACCCCATTCTCATCTTCTTTTCGCTACATAGCTTTCGCGCAATCAGGGTATAATACGGGTTATGTGCTTCCTCTTCAATTGCACAGTGTATCAACACACGGGGAATTTCCGATTCCTGATTCCTCTTCAATCGGAGCTTGGCCAGTCGCAGATGTGCATCTCGATAGTCTGTGGCAGACATGATTGCAACGAATATAGATCGTCTGACATCAGTGTTCATGCGATGGGCTTTAGCAAGTTGGCCTAAATCGACCTCGCCCCCCGTGATATCGTCATCCAAAGTGTCCGCTAAAACTGCATCGCGAGCCGTGCTATGCTCATTAGTGTGGTCGTTGATCATTGAAGCGTCTTTCCAGCTTGCGCCAACAAGCCACCATTTTCCCGTTTTGGAGGAGTTATGGATATCTGTGCGACTGATCCTAAGGGGTTCACTGGCTCTGAGATTCCTGTTATTCAGAGTTCCGAGGATTTTCCTCATCTTGGTGATGTATTCTGACGCCAATGTTGTTCCGGCAATGCCAGTTTTAAGGCGGTTATTCTTGAGGTCCGTGATTATTTCAATCATGAATTTTGTGCGAACTGATAATGCCGCCTCGCCGACTTGGGCTACCGCAGGTTGAACCATCATTACAATGTCCTTAAGTGCAGACGGGTCATCTTGTCTCAATTGAGATCCAGAACCTATAGCCGTGAGTTAGTAATAATACCCAATAGAACAAAAAACAGCTTCCTAGTGTGCAGGTATCCCGTACTCTTAATGATTTTCAGAAGCAATTCGGTGTTCAATTCATTGATCTCCTTTAGTAGGAGACGAATATAATCGAACGCCAAACTGCTTCCAATAACATGAAAATTATATAGATGAGAAAGCAAAGATATTAGATTCGACATGACCTTTCCATTAGAGGAACGGTTGCCGGCATCTTTATTCTCGTAGATTTCATCAAACTTCTCCACAACACGTTGGACAAGCTCTGCTCCGAAATCCATTCCAACCACTTTGTATACAGCGGATATGAAGGCAGCATGAAGGATGACAAAGGTATCATTCAGGGTGCTCCTGTCTGCTATCAAAGCAAGTAGAAGGTCGATGAGAGTTGATGTAACGTTTTTGCGAGGGTGGTCTTGATACATCTTTTCCACTTCCGAGAGTATGGATATCAGGTTGGCTTCGGATAGCTTGTTGAGCTGGCCCTGCATTTGACGACGTATGCGAATGAGCGCCTCTGATTCGGTAGAGGCTGCAGCGCGTAGAGATGGTGGAATATATTTTGGCTGGTCCTTGCTGGAGGAAGTTACAGGGGCGACATAGGGGTTTTCTCTTATTTGCTTTGGAGGCTCATCATCTTCAAAGCCTTCAAATTCATCCTTGTTGTCCGATTTGCTGCCTTCATCGCTGTCGTCAAGCTCCTCTAGCAAATCTTCATCATCATCTCCAATACCATCTTCCTCGTCCTCGGTATTGAAGCCTTCGTTGCTCCCGTCGGATTCTTCACCGAGGTTTATTTGAGCTTGTGCCTGGACCTTCCTCCTTTTACTCTTTAACCATTCATCGCTGTCTTTCTTGCGCTGCTCGAGGTCAGTCTCAGAGCCGTACCCTCCCAGGCCCCCCAGAATGTCAGCTAGTCCATCCTCTTCGAAGGATTTTGGGAGCTTCTTTTTCCCCTTAAGGCCCAAAGCTTTCTCTAATCGAGCGATTTCCCTGTCGTCCTCCTCAAGCTTCTCCTGAACGGCACGAGGTATTTTGCGCTCGGGAGGATGTGAGGCGTTCCCATTTTCACTTTTCCTTGTATCCCTCTGGGGTTCATCGTTCCGCTTCCGTTTCTTCAGGACAGATTTAGGCTCTCCTTTCGCTGGTATAGCTTCTCGTAAGCCTCCATCTCCAGCATCGTCATCATCATCATCCGAAGACACCTCCATACTATAATTCCGAGCAGGCTCTTGTCGCTGTACCGATTTTCGTGGTTGCTGGTGATGCAGTTTCTTCTGTGACCGTTCCTCTTTTCGCCTTTCTTTCCTGCTCAAAGGCTTCCCCCGTCCTCTGTTCGACCTGGCATTTTCACGGTTATCCTTCAGCCCCAGTTCATCGCGCAGCTGCTTGGGAAGGCGTGTGGTATTAATCTCCGGTCGACGCATCGCTGTGTCGTCTTCTTCTTCCGCTTCATCTTTTTCTCTTTTATCGTCTTTTTTTTTTTCGTTTTCTTAAAAAAGATATGATGTGGTCAAAGCGCCGATGCCGATAAACTCTAAATTGTCCGCACTTTTTTGAACTCGAAAAAACACAAAACGTTTGAAGACGAACAGAAAACAACTTTTCCTTTCTACAACAATTTTTACTCTTTTTGCAGAGTGTGCATAGGCTAAGGCCACTTTGGAAGCATTCAGACAGCCTGAGTACATATACCCTACCCGCATCAACAGATATACTACGGCGCGACGATGTCGAAACCCCACCTCCCTAACGAAGAGGTATGGATTCAATATATAAGAAACACCACCGCGAAGTACTCTGTATGATGCAACTAACTAACAATATACCCGGCTACAGTTCTTCACTCTCCTAGAATCCCTCTTTGTAAAACAATCCCACTCTGCTCGCGGCTCGATATTCCTTACGCAAAAGTGCTTCCCATCCGAAACCTCAAGCAAAGGCGAATCACAAACTGCAGAGTCAAGCGCACCGTCTTCGAGCGCACCGTTGATCTTGATCCGAGCGTCAAATGGAAAACACAAGGACTCGAAGATAAAGGCTTCAACCGTTGTGAAGCCAGAGGAGTTAGGGGCGTTTTATCGCCGATATGCGGAGATATGTAAGGCTGGGATGGTTGGGTTGAAAAAGAGGGATCGCAGCGCGAAAAAGAAAAGCAAGGCAAAGGGGAAGAAATAGGAGGCCATGGTTTAGTTAACCATTGGCCGTATATGTCGACTCGATGTGGCGGGGGATTTTCGTGTCCTTGTGGGTATATATGCATCAGTTTGGCGTTTTTAGCTGGGGGTTTACTTGTGAACTATTGGTACATAGAAAGGCATATTATGAGCCGACGGATTATTTATTTTAACATAAGGAATAAAGCTGTCATTATATTAACTATGCTTGGAGAAAGAAATGTAGAACGAACGACCAAAGAGAAACCCCTTCTGTACATCCAGTGATATTCCTGTACAGTTGTAGCCAAAAAAAAAATTGTAAACCGCCTCCCGTTAAATGCTAATAAAATGTCATCAATGCAAGTATATTTTGCATCGGGTGCCAGGAACCCTAAACCGTCATTACTATCCACGCAACACGGTGGATAGGCCGAGAATAAACCAAAGGAAAAAAAAGTGTACAGATACAAACAAAAATGCCAATAAGACTTAGTCCGTCTCATCCAAGGAATCATAAACGCTCAGGGAGTTTGAATTCACCTGTCTGAGGGAAGGCCGGGATGAGATGGGTATTCCAAAATCGTCTTCACTCAGGTCATCGAGATCCCCTTGGTAGGAGTATGGGTCTGCTGAGTCCGGGGAGGTAGAGGACGGCCGGTTGGCCGCAACCTTTGCAGCGAGGCGCAGGAGAAGCATGAGAAACTGTACGGGTGGGCCAAGGACATATGTACATGTCTTTTGCATGATTGAGTGAGTGAGATGGTTGGCGGGAGATCGCGCAGAGGGATAGTAGAGAGTAGAAGAGGGTGGAAGCGGTGAGAGCTCCCGTTTTCTGTTAATTCGGAGACGCCGACGGAGGTCTGGATTTGGATCATCGACAGCAGAGCTTTCGTATGATGAGAGGTGGCTTGACCCATACGTGTCGGAGGAAGAATGCTGGTCAACAGACGGCAGATCCTTGGGTAACTCGCCGATACCGTTGCTGTCTGAATCGATGAAGGGGTCGGACTCTGATCTGGAAATTATGTCTGAAGTGTCTTCTTCACCGTGTACCACTGAGGGTGCAGCCGTGATGTCCCCGCCACGGGACGAGTGCCATGGCGATGGGGGGTCTGAGTGCCGGGTATCCAGTGAGGAGAGCGAAGCATCGGTCTCACAGGTGTGGTAAGACCCAAGACTTGACATCCGTTCACACTCGTCGACGTATTCCCGGTGTCCTTGTTCGGGGTTGCCTGCATCCTTAAAGTCCTGGAATTTGGCAACCAGAGACTGGAATGTCTGAGGAGATGGAGGCGCCCTACAACTGTCTGACCGTATCCTGTTTCTGTCCGGCACAAGCAAGAACGGCTCCCCTTCAGCAGCGGCGGACGGGTTGTGCTCCGTATCGTCCTTCTTCTGGGGCTGCTGATCATTGTTGGTATTACTACCTTCACCGGCATGGGTTGCTGGCCTGTCAACCGATTCCGGATCAGTCGTAGCAGCCGAAGAATGTTCAATAACCAGGTTCAACGGGATAGAGGCGGGCATCGACTGGCGTTTTGGCTGCCAGGCCTTCTTCTTCTTAGGTGTTTTGGCTTCTTCCGGCAGGACGACGGAGAATCCACGTTTAAAGGGACAGGGAGTGATTTCATATCTGATTATGCTCGACAAGACCTCCTTAAATCCCTCGACGCGGCCTTTGTCCTCCTCCGTCTCGTCGGGCAGCTCGACGCGGTAGTAGGTGAGCTTCCGTATCCTGAAGACAAATCTAGAGACCTGGTCAACACACCAACACTGGCTGTTCTTGAGCAAGGGGTACACCACGCTGCCGGATTTCAGGAACGTAGCCGAGCCCGCGACATTCTCTATCTTCAGAGAGCCGATGGACACCAGTCTCTCTGTCGACAGCTTCCAGGGGAGCGTCTCTATGGCGTCTACGGGGTAGTCGAGGTCGGGGAGGATGGGGGAGGACGACGAGGAGTCCGGGAGCTCGAACTTGAATATCTTCGCGGACGGGCTGGAGTAGAGGATCTCATCTGAGGCGAATGAGCTGCCGGTAGAGATCTCATGCGATCCAAGAGTATATCTGCCCGTCGAAACGGCTCTGCTGGGGAGGGTCGAGGAGCGCCGGAGCGACGTCATCGTGAGAGAACAGGTAAACAAAAAAAAGGAGAGACAAAAAAGGAGAGACGGCAGGGGAAAAAGGAGTGTGGATAGGAGATGGATATAGGAGAATAAAAGTACACGCTCTTACATCGCGCGCATAGCAGTTAGCCGTCGTTCGTTCTTCTGTGAGGCGGTTGGGTGGAAAAAACATCCACATCGACGTAGTGACGTTAGAAACGCCTTTTTTTAAGCCACAGCGTGAGAGGAAGAACACCAACAACAACCACACACAGCTCGATCAGCGGAACACAGAAGCACGCACGGAGTATACAGAGTATAGAGGAGTGCAGTGTCTAGAGAGATGCCCAAGTTCGAGCCCAATGCCATCCTTCGGGGTGCGCAGCTCACTCTCGTCGGTGGTAAGTCGTCGTCCTCGTAGGATGACCTCGACCAGACTGGCTGATGAAGTATTCAGCATACAGAGCGTTGCAGAACCCGGAGCTCTTCAAGTCAGAGCACTACAGACAGGCTGCTCTCGCTGTGTGCACCGGCATAGCCATCCATCTCGTCGTTGCCATCCCGGTAGGCCGTCTCTACATGTATATTTGCTCTGGCTGCCAAGTTAACAAGGGACTAGATCGCTGCGGTCAAGCTGGTGATATGGATTCTCTCTTGGGCTGTGGACCTCGAGGGTGCCATATGGGATGATAAAGCGGTCGGGACGCTGGACTTCGTCTCCAATTATGTCCTGCAAATTCCCTTCTTTCTCATGGCCCTGATGAGATATATCACTCCGACACTGGACAACATGTATGCACCCTCGATTTTTCTTTTCTGGTATCAGTAAAAAGAAAAGGTGGAGAGACTTATGTTTGGACAGGTTCATGGAGTCTCTCCGCTGGGTTGACAAGACCTATACGCAAAAGCACAAGGAAGACGACCCGACGACTCTACGGCCAATGTACTATGACAACCTGAGGATGTACTCCAAGGGCGGCCGCTCTCCCGGTAAAAAGTCCCGCTTTACACCCTTCAAGGCCTTCGCGATACGGTATGGGAAGAGGACGGGCATGGCCATAGCAGTCTACGTCCTCTCGCACCTACCGTTGGTCGGCCGCTTCGTCCTTCCGTGCGCCACTTTCTATACCTTCAACAAGGCCGTCGGTCTTGGACCAGCAGCTGTGGTCTTTGGAACCGGACTGCTGCTGCCAAAGAAGTATTTGCTAGTCTTTTTGCAGAGCTATTTTTCCTCTCGCAGCTTGATGAGAGAACTGGTGAGCTTGTCGCTTTCGACTTAAATTTTGGGTGTTTGCTTTCTGTATCCTGTGTTAACGGTTACACATAGCTTGAGCCCTATTTCAGCCGGGTGAAGTTCACTCCTGATCAGAAACGCCGCTGGTTTCTCGACAGGGAGGGCGTGCTCTTTGGATTCGCGGTTGGTTTCTACATCATACTTCGCATACCCATACTTGGTGTCTTACTCTATGGAATCGCGGAGGCGTCGACAGCATACCTAGTGACCAAGATAACTGATCCTCCGCCTCCGCCAGCCTACTCGGAAGGCTTCGCTGAAGGCCAAATAACATGGACAAACAAGCATCTCTTCCTCAAACTACCTCTAGACTCACTCGACTTTCCCACCATCAGAGCTCGTGAAGGGAAGAGAACCCCCTGAAGGGGAGATAAGCCCTACCGGCAGACGGTTTGGATAATTTTTAGTCTTCCCTCCCCCCATGGAACGGCGGAACCGCTCAACCTGAACCAAATATCACGGCTGATGATGCCATGATGTCATTGACCCTTCCCCCTATTTATAAAGATGACCCCCCTGGTTCCATGGCCTCGTCGGAATCCAACTTTTCCTTTCTTTGCATTTCTCTTGCATTTTGAGATATCTGTCCATCCGTGGTGTTCTATTGGTGCGGAGCATAAAAGGAGATGCCGCTAGCCTTTTCTAGGAGATGGAGGCCGTCAAGAACTGTTTATCGTTGGTCACGATGATCTACGTAATAAAGATCTGTCTGGAGCGTATTCTGCGCTCCTCTTCCAGTTCCTCTTCCAGCTTGTCTTCCATTTCTTCCACTCCTTCCGGCGTCATCCCCTCATCTATGTCAGTACCGTCTGTGCCGTCTGTACCATCTATACCACCTATACCACCCGTGCCGTCCGTGCCATCTGCACCATCTATACCATTTATACCAGATATCTCAGATTCGCCAGACGTCCCAGATACACCCCCTCAACTACCCCGATCACCCCGATCATCTCGATCATCTCAGTCCTCTCAGTCATCCCAATCATATCGACCAGCATTGTCTTCTTCGTCTTCATCTTCATCTTCCCCATCTTCCCCATCTTCCCCATCTTCCCCATCTTCCCCCCCTCGGTCGCCTCCGTTACATTGCTCACACTCATCATCATCTACCATCTCTTCGCTTTCCACCGTCATCCATCATACACTTCCCCCGTCATCTATTTACTCTGGCCGTTTATCACTATTATCATTAGACCTTCTTCACCGTCCCCCCTTTCCTATTCCTCCCCCTCCTCCCCCTTCTTTATCCTCTTCTTCCTCTTCCTCTTCCTTGTTTTCATCCTCTCCGTCGCCGTCTTCTACAACGTCTCTCGTGCCATCTATCACCAGTTCTTATGATCTCTCCTTTTCTGATGCCTCTTCTTTTTCTGATGTCTCGTCTTATTCTTCTTGTTCCTGCTCTGGCTCCTCTTGCTCCTGTTCCATCAATACCTCTGATTCCTCTGATTATTCCTCCTCGTCCCATTCTCCTTATTTCCGTTGTTACTGCTCCACCTGCTTCTTGCCCTGCTGCTTGTGCTCGTGCGAGTATCCTTGCCCTTGCCATTGTTCTTCTCGTACTTCTTCCACTGTTTCTTCTTCCTCTTCTTCATCATCTTCTTCATCTTCATCTTCTCCTTCTATCGATGACGATCTCTTTCTCGATTAGTCTTAAGCCCTAAGTTTAGGCTTAAACGGGGAAAGACCCACTGTATCCACTTTACCCGTGCTTATGTCATCAATTTTGAAAACTTGGATCGGAAAAAAAGTAAACAGAAGGAAAAAAATTTCATGTCGGACGAAGAAGTCGACAGCATCGAAACAAGAGAGAGAGAAAGAGTGTGCGCGCTAGATATACAAACTACGGACAGGCAGCCTTGAAGAGAAGTGGCGGAAACCATGACCGTCGATACCATGGACGATACGCATGAATCATCGAACTTCGATACCAACGGTGGAGTCAAGACCAACCAGCAGGAAATGAAGACGCAACTGGAGAACGACTGGAGTTCGCACCAAGATCAGGGCCATCAGCCAGCATCACCGACGAATAAGAAGAAGAAGAATCGCATCGGCTACTGGAAAGACAAAAAGGCATCCAGGAAACAGGCACAAGCCGCCGCCGATGGCGATATGAACGATAACGGCGGCGTTTCAACGTCCGTACCAACCGAGAAGGATGAAACCAATGTCGACAAAGAGAACGAAAGCCCTAGAGCTGGCGAAATTGCCGACACCACCCAACCAAACGTCGAAACCCAAGCGCCCTTCGCTACCGAACAAAAGGTCAAATCAAAGAATGGGAAGAAATCCAAAGTCGCATCTCATCCCCCCCTAATACAAGACCGGTGGCCATCATCAGCAAGTCTAGATGATGACTTTATTGCTGGCGGGTGGGACGAAAGTGTGACACAGAATATCTGGAGGATTGAGAATAATAGGATTACTCCAGCGGAGGACACGAAAGCTAAAAAGACAAGGACAAAAAAGAAAGCTGCAAAGCCGAAAGTGACAGCTGAGCTGGAGGCGGAATATCTGGAAGGTGATCCATTGAATTTGAAGTCTGGTAACGTCGGCACCCCCATGGGTGCAAATGGAGCAAAAATAGGGGAAGATGGAACACCAACCAAGGAAACAGTTGCCCCGCAACCAAAGGGACCGAAGAAGAATGCAAAGAGGAAAGCCAAGGCAGACAAGCCAAATGCTCAAGTAAACTCCGAAACTATTAGTGCACCTAATTTTATGGAAGATGATGGAGTCACTGGCATGGACACACAACATAAAACATCCACCGGCGGCATTAATGGGCCGTCGCTGTCCGAACCCAGCGGAACCCATCACCAATCTCTAAATGACGAGACAAACGACGTTGATAGCGAGAGGCACACTGTTAATGCGGCCAATAGTAATACCGAAATACCCATGTCCGAATCGTCAAACTCCAAGGAACAGAAGCCAAAACAAATGAAAATTCAAGTTGACCTTGATCTTGAACTTGCGGCTGTTTTGAAGGCAAAAGTAAAGGGAGAAATGATGATTACCTTTATGTGAGTTCTTGTTCACGGTCTTTATTTCGGCTGAATTTGTGTCCAAATGCTAACTTTGCTGCTTTCATAGAAACTAGAGACATGCTCTTGGCCTTATGAATTCTTCTTTCTTTCAGACTCTTCTGCTTTATGCCCCCTTGTATATATATTCTTCTTCCCTTCTTCATTCTCATTACGATGCTCGCTCATGATATTGGTTTAGGGATAATATAGCTAGATGGGTACTGGGTGTTGGGTTGGGCCTGGTAATCACCATACCAAATTGTGCTATGAAAATAAAAATTATGTTATCTATGAGACACTTACTATCCTATCTGGAGCTAAAGACACGGTAGAAGCCCAGAATATACAGGCACAACAAATGGGGAGAAATAGCCCGAGTAGCGTCAGCAGCCTAATCTCATCAAATAAAATTCCGCAATATTCCCTAACTCCAATCCATTTTTATTATACATTATCATTCGCCTGCCCATTTACCCGGGGACCATGCACATTCATATTACCGCTATCTTCACCCGGAACCACACCATTGATTCCACAGTCGGTAGCAGGGTTGACCCCAGGATCCTCGGGAACCGGAGCCTCTGTCTTTGCTGGGCGCCGTATCTTAGCAAGATATTGCAACTCTTCCAGTGGCCGTGCGCGGCCGTCCTCTTGTCTTGCCTCGGGAATAAGCCACTTTGTAACTGCAGCTCCCAGTACCATAAACGCCGCAAAAATGATAACCACGTAGCCCAGCCATTCAGATTTTGTGTCTGTGGAATTGATATCAGAGGGGTTGTTATCGGATGGTTTATAGGGGCCGATAGGTGCATAAGCCACGAATACCTGCACCAGGACAGATGCAATTTTCCCAGACATCGCAGAGATACCGTGGGCAGTGCAACGGAAGCGGGTCGGGAATAACTCTGCGGGAATCATGAAAGTTGTAACGTTGGGGCCTATCTCAAAGAAAACTTGCGATAGGACGTAGAGGAATGCAATTAGGGGTACAGAGATAGACCTATTAACAACTTGGAAGCAGATTCCAATGGTGATAAAGATCACAGCCAGCACGATGAAGCCGTAGAGTTGAATGGTGCGGGGGGAGCTGCGTTTTATAATCTTAATCATACCCAGGCCACCAGTTAGAGAGCCTATGGAGACGATAATAAGCGAGTGCCATGTGTTCTGAATGGCATCTTCGTACAAGCTGCGGTTTGGAATGTTACAAGGATGCGGCATCTTGCCCCCTTGTTTGGCTATGCTAGGAAAGCAGAGAGTCTTTTCGTTGAAGATCTTCCCAACAACTTTGTATGAATTAGGCCCTAGAGCATAGAAGGCAAAGTCAAAGCAAGCCCAGGCCAGGGCGGTGCCGAGGAGAGTCGGCCAGTGACCGTTGGTAATGAAATGCTGGTAGAAGCCAGTGCGAAAATGAGTCCACTGGCTAGCCTCCTTCGTAGGAGGAGCGAAATCATCATCTATCAGCGTGCTATCAGCGGCATCACCATCGTTTGTGGAAGAAGATAAAGATGAGCCTGAGATAGAATTCGCACTCGAAACGGTGTGTGTGCGTGAGACACGACGAGGTGAGTGCTGCGAGGCCGCGTCCGTTGCCCGTGAAGTGCTTTTGTGAGGATTAAAATGGCTCCATTCATTGGAGACAAGGTGATTTTCTTGTGTAGCGGCCGAGACGGGTCTATGAGAAACACTTGGTGGCTTTTCTCTTTGTACGTGAGGGCTCTCTGGTAAAGACTGTGTTTGGGGTTGGCCTTGTTGCTGTAATGGAGGTGGGAGTTGCATCTCAACATCACCAGGGGTAATTGTCTTTTGGGGAACCCGCTGCCAGCCCATCTCATTAACATCCTCGAGAGCTTCATCAGGTCGGTTCAGCACCTCCATTGTGTACCGAGGGGATTCCGGAATACTGAACCTGAAAAAAATGGCAATTGCTGATGGAACCGCACCAATACCAATAACCCACCGCCACACACTATCCATCGCTCGTCGACAGCTTTCATCATCCATACAGGATACAATATCTTCAATCCGTGTAGGGATAGTGTGTGGGATGCTGCCACGGTGCGCCACAATAGCTATCAACGCCACGAGGGTCGCAGCGAGATACCCGCAGGGCTGCATATAAAAGACCGTTGAGATCATCCGACCGCGGGAACGGGTTGGAGCAAATTCAGAAGTAATGACAGCGGAAAGCGGGTAGTCACCACCGATACCGACGCCCATGATGAAGCGCCAGACGATTAACCATGCAACGATACTCATAGAGCCGGATGCACCGTCAGCTGCCATGGCAACACCGATAGTCGAAATGGTAACAACTAGAAGCTCGAAGCCGTACATTTTCCGTCGCCCGTAGAGATCGGCGAGTACACCGAAAATGAACTGTCCGATAATTGTGCCAACGAGAGTGGCCACCCTCATGCCAGTTTCGATATGTGTGGGCATGGTGCCCTGCCAGTAAACATGGGCTAGCATGGGAATAATCATCCCGACAGCGAAGATCTAGTCGGTTATTAACATTTGTACTGAAGGCTGGAGAACGCATGGTAACTTACATCATATCCATCAGTGAAGAAACCGATCCCGGCAACAAATACCACCAGACTCTGAAAATGGGTAGCATCAAGCTCGTCGAATACACGACGACGGCGTAAGTCAAGGTCCTTTTTGGTTTCCTTGGTTAGCACCGACAACAATTGCTGATGCAGAGAGCAACGTACCGGAATATAATCAAAGTTAACCGTGCGGTTCTTAACCTTGAACGAAACCGGCATCTTCATGGTGAAAACTTCTGCAGTTTTGCCCCAAGACAGGTGGTTTTCGATATAGAAGATCAAATGTCCCTAGTGGGCGCTATTTTGCTGTACTTGCTTTCCCAGAAGGGTTATGAAGAGCAATGGCCAACTCTTGAGCTGTTTTTCCGTATTATGTATATGCCATGAGGCTTAAAGGATGCCGGGGTTTGGACAATGTCAAGGCGACCCTAGGGAGGCGCAGGCAGAAAGGAAGGCTGGATATAAATTCAAGCAGGTGAGGAGTCATCAGTCAGGCAGACAAAGGGACAGGGCATCGCGATGTTAACGCCCGGCCAAGATTCTGACAAGCATAAAAATATTGATCAGGGCTGTGAAGTAAGCGGACATATGTATATATATAAATGGATGGTGAATAGGTTATGGAGCCTTGGGAATAACGACATGTATTAAATGGTAATATAGAGGTTCATATGACCGGGAATGGACAAGACTTAAAATAGATAAGCGAGAGTGAACGCCCAGTTAAGCGATGATGAGGCTCCATCTGATGCACATGGGAGAAGCAACAAAGGCCATGCGAGCAGGAGGACTGACGGTGCCAGTCGTGAAGGATGGCGAGGGGAGATACTCCGTACTATGTATGTACGATGTAAACGGAAGCTCGCTGGCCTAGGGCTTGGGAGTTTGGGGAGGTTTCGGAGTGGCTGAGACAAACTTTAGGCTTGCTAGGGTACAAGCTAGGGACAAGCCCAGGGTAGAGAAGTTGACCCATCAGCGAACAGCGAAGGCACACGGGGGATTTGCAAAGCAGGGGGTCGCTCGTGTTTAAAAAGCGTTTCGGTAAATAGCTGCAGGTCTAAGCAACGGTCAGTCCAAACGTACGTACGATAGCGGGCAACACGGAAAGGAGAAAATCGAGAAAGGAGGAAACAAAAGGAGGCGAGTCGCAGGGATTGTATTATGCAGGCAATAAAGGATACAGAGCGCTAACGAACCTGACGGAGACAAGAAGGCTATCCGTAGATTTTGAGCCGACTGCAAGAGCTGCAGGTCGAGGACCGTGTTTTTATGGCTCTTCTTGGGATTTGGGTCAACGTTGCTTCCTGTATCATTATTGTTAATCAGTCGGCGGGTAGGGGAGCATGACAGCCATAAAACTTACGGTGAATCTCAATATATCGGGGTCGCTCCCTTGCAGAGGCAAAATACATCATAGATATGTCTCCACCATCTCCGTCACCATCTGCGTCTTCCCAGATTCGTAGATACTGGCGATCTGACTCCTTTCCGTTCACGCTAGATACCTTTTGGACCAGCAACGAGAGAAGTAGCCGTTTCCCGAATATCAAACTTTGGAGGTGGATGAGGTCTACGTCACAGACGTCAGTGCACCCGTTCCGGCCAAAACGACAATTCCCAGCCAATAAAAGAAAATAGCGGCTTACCGTCTGGATCCTCGACGTAGTATTGTGGATGTTCACCATATTTTGTTTTGGGCGCCTTGATGAAATAGATTACTCCTGCTTCAAGGTCTTTGTCACGGTTACCCGGCGGTTCGATATGTGGTATGGTCCTCTTATCTACAGAGGATACTGCTGAAGTGTTAGAAATATACACCCGGTAGTAGAGAGTAGCGGCTAGGCTCACGTCTGAGAGTAGGTAACTTTTCAGTGGTATCGCCAGGATCTATCGCGCGAATGGCGCACATCCTCCCGTCATTCTTGTAGCCGGCAGCAAGAACACATCTGACTGGTGTTGGATGGCCTTGCCATGAGCTGTATACCCGTTAGTACAAGTACGTCCCATATTTATATCCCCAACTGAGCATCTAAATACCCCGGTGAGTGTTGATTGATGGGAGAAACTTACATCCTTACCCGCCCATTAAGCGGGATTGTCTTCCAGCCACAGCTCGAGTGATGCCCTGAATCATCTGTGTTCCTTCTCGGCACGTTTCCCGGTGATGGGGGAGAGGCGAAACCACGCCCGTTGCTGTAACTCCTCCTACGCGAAGGGACATTTCCATTTTCAGCACTAGCCACGCTGGGTGTTGTGCTGGCGTAGCTGGATACGGAATCACGGCCATGTGGCCCATTTTTTTTCTCTGTAAATCTCGGGCTAATAGGAGTAGGGTATGAATTAATGGACCCAGGGCTCGTTGACAGTGGAATAAAAAGTGAATGAACTGTGGACGGGCTGGAGGAAAGTGGTTGTGAGGCAAAGGTTGGGTACGTGGGCTTATGGCCGCCGAGCGCTTCCACATGTGTGGCGGTAACGACAGTGTCATCAGTCGCAGCAGTGCTTGTCAATGTGAAATTAGAAAACACCGAGGGTGCGTAGGAGGGTAAGGTGGCAGTCGATAGGGTGCGACGAATTGGACCTTCCGGACACTCTTCTGTCTCCTCTCCACCATTAACAGGTATGGATGTCTGAACAGTTTCGCGCTCGGTTTCTGTCTCCGTTTCATCCCGGATTAATGCTAAAGGGGTTTCGTATGCTGCGTGACGTTTGCGGCGGTATGATGGGTGCTCAGGGGAAGGAGGAGATCTGTGCGAACCTTTCAACTTGTTCAACAGAGCCCTGTTCAGCGCTATGTCATTATCACTCCCGGATCGATACTCGCTCCCATTTCCGTGCTGAGCACTCGAATTCGTCTTCCGTTCAATCACATACAATACTCTCTCATGGAATTGATCCAACTGATCACAGATCGCCTCCCATTCCTGATCATCGCCGCTCTCAGCCATGCTACGTTGAAGCATGGCATATTGACGCTGGCGGTCCACAGCGTCCAGCATTACGTGATACCGGTCGTTATCTGCGGCAGGGCCGTCGGCAAGACTGACGCTGGACGTATTAAGCGTTGAGTTAGGAATAGAGCCCACACGCTGTAAAGGGTATGAACGAGTTAGAGGCATGGTTTCGGCATGAAGTTCGTGGACCATGCGTTCCACACTCTGTAACCTGTTCCCCATGCGGATGCTTCGTTCCCTGTTTTAATAGAATGTTAGTATGTAATCTCGATAGTAGTGTATGCGTTGGAACACACCGTTCAAGGACTGTGAGATAGAGTGTCAGAGACTGTTTATGACGCGCAACCCGGTCCTGGAGAGCAGAGATCTGCCCGTGGCCCCAAGTGGCATGCCTGACCAGCTCCCCGCCCACCTTGGCCGCATTTCTGGATCTAGAAATTAACAATTCCCTCGCACGCCCTCCACCACTTGAAGTAATGGACGGCCGTCTCTCTGCTGTCGCCAGGTCTGCGCTGTTTTTGTGATGGCTATCATAGGCCTGCTGCAGGTAGTTGTATTTCTGTATGTGAGTGCGACAGTCTCGTAACGTGTCCTCGATACCGCGCAGGTCAATGCAGGAAGTTTCGCCGCCATCTTGAACGAGGTTCTGAAGCTGTTGAAGCAGGCGCTCGAGTTCTTGAATCTCCACTCGAAGGCCATGTACTATCTGGAGCGCAGAGGTCGGACCAAGGTTGCAGTTAGATATCAAGGTGTGGCAGACAACGATTAGCTGGTAGATATCCCCGGCTGACCACCCGAAGCTCATGATGGCTGTGATAAGAGGCGGTATATGCAGCGGATGTGGGTATATAACGTCTGTATATAAGTGAGTATAGCGGCCGTTGACTGGGGAAGGATCCGCACTCCATTCAGAGGGCGATCATATGTATCGGTTACGTGCGAAAAGATTATAGAGCTGATCAGACTATAACCAGTTATTCAAGATGGAACGGGTAATATCAGCGTTGAAGAGTGTGCTCTTTCGTCACGAAACGAGAGCCACAAGGCAAGGTCCCGCCAACGTCTATGCACGTAATAAGATGACAGGGTGAAGTCAGTCGATCAGCCAGTCCTCCACGAAGCAGAAAGTAAAAGACTGTCCAGCGTGTTGTCGGGGAGCAGTTTCTGGTCAGAGCAGAGCCTCACCATGCAGCAGCCAACTCCACATATATGAAGGAGCAGGCGGCCAGAAAGTGATTCCTGAACCTCCGTATAACGGACAGATTGACCAGCTAACCGACAGGTTGGACGTTTCTGGCGTTAAACGGGGGTAATAACGCTCCACGCGGAACCAAAACTAGACGAGGCGAGCAGGCAATGCAGGGAGCGGCCTCATCAGCCACATCCTGTATATATGACATGGTGTAATGCTTCCGCCTGTAACGTATGGAGTCCACGCGCAAGGGAGGCATATATACTACTATAGCGTATGTATATGTATGCCGTCGTCTGCTCCGGTACCCGGCGCCCCCATACATCTGGTGCGCAACAAGCAGGTACCGGACTTATCGAGCGCCAACTGCGTAAGTTGGATAAAAAGAACGGAGGAAAAAGAAAAGAAAAGTCGCAAAAGGCACGTTCAGTAACGATTGGACCGGAATCCGTCCCTCTTCTCTCTCCTGGGCCAGGGATATCGTTGCTTATTATATATATAACCTAGCGCGTACTGCGTTATCATAAGATATCAAGGCGAATGAATCTTCAGTGGCCTTGCTTAGTGAGCGTCCGCTGACGACACCATCACCATCATCAATCACAAGGCTGGCCGTCAAGATCGAACAGAGAGGAGTTTGTGCTTTTTGCGAGAAGACGAAGGGCGAAAAGCGAAGAGGCTCGTCTTATGAACCCTGCAAGTTCCCGTAGCTCACGTGACCGTCAGTTTCTTCTCTATATTCGTCCGAGCTGGGGATAATGAGTGTAGAAAAGAGGACTGCTCGCCTCTGGAGACCCGCAGTTGGCGTCTAGTAATCCGCTGGCTCACACTCCTTGTTGCACTGGTTACGGTTATTGATTATTAAGTCATGTTCTTATTTATATATGTTGTACAGTTATATAAACGTCGCCGCCACGGATAGGTCGGACCGATACTCATGAGGGATGGTAAGGTTGATGTGGAAGTTCTGCGGGATGGCTGTACGGCCCAGGGGACGATGGTGGTCGATGGGCTTCGGCATACCCTCCTGGCAGCTCTTGCGGTTTACCTGCGTGCGGTATCGGTGGCACGTCGTACGTTTCCGTTATGGCCCTATTTTCCCGGGGCCAGTGTACCTCGTCCTGGGGAAACGTGCGCACTGGGTTGTACCGGGCATCGTACCGAGGGGGGGCGGCTCCTGATTCGTACTGAGGGGGTTCGGTGTTGTTGGTATACGCCAACGCTGCGTTGGGCACAAAGTACAGCACTGCTGTCATTGCCCCAAGCAGAAAGATATGGTTAAGGATGTATCCTTCGATGCCGCTGGGGACCCAAATCAATACGAGACTAGTCACGTACTTTGCAAACAGTGCTAGCGAGAAGAGATAGGCGAGGGCCCGGAATTTCTAGAAGACGGTTACCCAAAAGAAAAAGCCCAAGAAGGGCGGATAGGGCGGAGAGAGCTACATACACCACTCCTGCGAAGTTGCGGCGCACCTCTTATCGCAATAATGAAGGCCAAAATACCCACGGAGGATCCGATGACTCCAAGACCACCATCTATGATGATGAAGAGCCCCGCATAATTCCCGTAAAAGCCACCAGCAAACTGCGTATAATAAGCATTGCCAATGTCGGTAATAAACCAGATCAATAAGGCAATACAGGCAATCACGTTGACTCCCATGAGGCCGACGAATACTTTATGGCAGATTGACTTAGCACGGGGCATGATTCCACCAGCGCACTCATGCATCAGACGAGTGATCGGAAGCAACATCGCGCCGAGCAGGAGGAGACTGATGATCAGGCCAAGGCAGCTGCTGGTTACAGCGAGATAAATGAAGGTGAACTGAAAATCCTGCGCGCATTCACTGCCAACGAAGCTAGCGATATCCAATATCAGAACTCTGTAAAGAGTGTTAGTATCGACGTAAGAAAAGAATAAAACAAGCTGAACTGCCATAGAGACACAAGCAGCATCTATCGGATAGGTACAAGCTTACATCGACTCAAGCACAAGAGATACCCCTAACACTGTCCACAGTGCTCCATCTCTCGCGTGACCTCTGAGACGGGCTGTTTTTCGGCGAACTGGATATAAGTAACTTAGGCCCAGGCTGGAGACGAAAAAAAGCACCATGAACGTCAGCAATATAATTTCTTGCATTGAACTGAAAGCATTTGGGCCACACGACGAGCCGCTGGACCGATGACCTCCGCCGCCACGTTGAGGAGCCATGTCGAACTGATATCAATTCTGTTTCTTTTCTCCTCCTCAATCCCTTAGGAAAGGATAGTTATTGTGGTTATTCCCACTAGGAATATATTATCAAAGGAAACAAAAATCAACAATAGTAGAATGAAGCAAACAACAGCGTAGCTACAAGAGGGCCAGTTGCTCTAATTAAAAAGGGAAAATATGACATTTCCCAGGTTACCTCCATATAAGCCTCCTATCATTCAAGGTTGTTTGACGCTGGGTCTGTAAAGTCCCTTTCTCCCAGCCACTCTTGCTTAACTACAGAGATGCCACTTTCTAACCGCGGAGAATCATTCGCATGATATAGGCAGGGATATTAAACAGATCCAACAGCGCTAAACGCTTGGCTCGAGCTTCCATTGGCGAAACTGCTTCTCAAAAATAGCCGGGTCATCCAGCTGTTTCTCAACTACATGGTAGCGATGTTGGAGGCCCTGTCAGAGGCGCAGCAAGAGATGCAGTCGAAGTGGTGAAGTCAAGATGAAGTCGATAACGTTTCTTCGTGAAAAGGAAGACAACAAGACAAACCACCAAAGTCCAAGTATACGCACTGCTTCAAGTTGAACCGATACTAAAGCATCAGAGCCCGTTTTTCTACCCTTAAGCTTGGGATTATACCCCTTACATAGACTATCAACCGTCCTGGATCGCCCCCTACCCACTACCGCAGTTGGACCTTGACCCCAGCTGGGGCGATATGCTGCACGCGAGCCCAATGTCTCACTGCTGCATCGATGGATAACACCTTATACTCTAATCTATCGCCCGGCAGTTCCGTGCTCTACCCTTCTGCACGCCTCCTTTGGACCCAATACTCATTTTATGAAACGGAGAAACATTCAGAACAAGATATGAGATATCGCCTGTTTTGTTTCGTTTGCCCATAGGGGAATCGAGCCAGCTGGAGGGAAACCCAGAGTAAAAGGGGCGCATAACTAGGTCCCTGGTCACCCATGACAGGCCTAAGCTTATCTTACTGTGAACGAAACAATGGCCCGAGATATACCTGATATGGACAACTTCTAGACATGTACTACACCTGGCGTTAAACAGGGCGATGCTGGCAGTTACATATTTACTCTACACATAATGTTAAACAAACTGCGCCACGGTGGCCGTTAAAATAACATGGCGCGACATAGATATGTATACGCTACCTACAGGGCTGTAAAGTATTTGTCTGATAGGAGGTGTGTTGAAGAATCCTAGGCCTGCATGCATTTGCCTCATGTCCTGCATATAGACACGGAAAGAGGCATTAGTTGTTGTCCACGAAAATACACACTTATTTCCGCACCACCGAAGCCATTATGGAGAACGAGGGTGATATCCTACAAACAAACTGATCCTACAGCCTGGATCATATCAATGCGTCGAGAAGTGTCACCGTTTCGAAGGAATTTAAGCTGCCACTTCAATAATCAAGAGATGCGGACACCATGGAGCCCTCTGGGCGAACGGCGAAAATCACATATTGCGCCGAAGCTGTGGACCGATATACACCTTGAACGCATCGAAAAGGATGGCAAAAACTGAAGGTTCTATCAGCCAATTCTCCATATTGGTGAATGAAACCGATGCTACATAGTGAGCGCTACGAGACAGTTTGTTTACGATGCCCTGACTTGACTAACCCTCCAGTAAAGATGAAATGTTCCAAACCCGACTGACATTATGCTTACCCCTGCATAGCCGCTAGCTTTTGCACAACATTCTTTATCCTGGCTATGGCTCTGGTATTTTGCTGTGGCCAATATATATACCGATATACGGTCGTCAGGATATCTACCCTCCATAGAAGATGTCGCTGTCATGATCCCGCCGCGCTGCAATGGCGACAGTCACACTACCCGCTCCCGCCACCGACATTGCTGAAATATGGAAAGTCGCGATAAATGACTACGAAGCCATTACTAAAGTCAGGCTTGCATCTCTGGCAGAAGCCACGAGCATAGATGACATACTCAAGGGGATCCGAGAGAGAAATAAGTTACTTGACAGAATACACCATGACAATTCCAAATTAGATAAGTTTAGGACCCTTGTGGACAAAAGTTTACAGCCCATTGAAAGGATAGCTAAGTGGCTATTCACGCAACATCTACTGTCAGTTAACTATCCATCCTGTGCTGATGTTTACCTGCGCTGGAGCTGGCATATTTCTCTATATAGATAAATCGCCGTAGTATAGCCGTTATGTCGACTCTTCAGCCACCTGCACCGCGCCTTTGGGTAGCGAACGAGGATTGCTTATATAAACTAGTCACGTGATAGATTTTGACGCCACTATATGTTGCGTCACTCCAAGCTCCCAGAGACTGTACCATTATCAATGTCATTAACGTCATCAACAAGACATATCTGCTTTTCAGCTCCAGCACTATCTGTTATCTTTCAGTCCCTACTCTTCATAGAGCTTCCGTTTGTATATTTTCTCCCGATATGTTGGACTCTTCTGTCAGTCGATTTTTTCAGCAACTAAGATCACCATGTCTCAACCCCCCCACAAAACGGCGAAGATACCCAGAATGTCCGAGTTAGTAGGATCAGGTCCAAAGGCTGCCGATGCAAGGATTCCAGCAGACTATTCCAGCGTATCATCGGGAGATTCTCATACCTCAGCCAGTTCTACAGATGCGTCTACACCTTCAAGTCGGAGCCTCTTATAACACTTCCAGCCCCTCCTCCCAGAGCATATCTGCACCATCCGCCTCCAAGACTGAGTCAGAAAGTAAGAACGAGCGGCTTCTCTGGGTTCAAGAGACTCTCAAGGAAATAAAAAAATAGTTCTCATGAAGAAATTGTTGCAAGGATACGGGAAAATGGGTCAATAGGTATACCTCATACATCCTCTTGATATTTTATTTCTATTAAATAATAATAGTTACGGGCAAAAGTCTTCCATACGACACGGATGATGACATCAAATACGAAACTGCAGGAAAGGGTTTATAATTCTTCCTTCCATCAATAGCGTCTCGTATCTTATGCCTTCTCTACCAGCCCATTTGTTCACGCCTCTCTTTCTTTCATTGCTGTTTATCAAAGCAGACTCCGGCTCTACAGCCAATTACAAACGACAAGCTTCATTCGCTAGGAGTCTACTTTAACACTTGGGGTTTACTCAAGGCTCAAGTAAATACTGAAAACAAAGAGGATCAGGGGGCAAGTACGAATCTTTGTTTCAACGAAATTGGACACGGCATTCAGAATGAAGAGAAAAGCATGGGCTCCAAAAGGATAGAATCGAATAATGAGGGCCAGGAGGCTGATACAGATCCAGACATTAGTCCTATTGAAGATGAATCTAGTGTTCGAGATCGGGTCAACGTTGTGGCTATTGATCTCTCTAAGAGCGAAATTGCCAGTATCCTAAACGACATTTTTCGCCGCATGGGCCGTGCCAGCCAGGAAAAGGTCAAAGAAGCCCTTGCTACTGGCCATATTAGCATCAACCATATATTCAATTAATGGAATGACTCAGTATACCAAGGCAAATCACTTTATCAGCTTGCGGCTCTTGAAGCCAAAATGTTCACCTTCCACCACAACGGCAGTGAAGCAAGCCCGCAAAACCGCCAGTATGGGCTCCTCCACCAATTGCTAGAGGCGGACCCTGTACTATGGATCCTTAATGTTTGCCTCCGGAAAGACAAGAAAGAACTTGCTGCCCTCCCACAGCGAGTTTTCTATAAGAGTCCCAACGATCTTCCTGACGGCCTCCTTAACCAATCTCGTATCAGACTAAAAGGCCAACATGAGGTATATTTTACCTCTAAAAAAGGAGATAGTGGACTTTTGTTCCAACCTTCCCTTTTTCCACTTACTTGGAAGAATAATCTAAGCTGTGTTGGTGACTCAACTACGGAAGAGCAAGTTAAGTAATTGAGGGATAAGCACCAACCTATAAAATGGGATATCGTTTGAAACAAACTACTAACAACAGCGCGTCTTCCTTATGGTATTGCAACTACATTACAAGGTCTAAGTCCTCTTTCAGACGCTATTCTCCTGCAGCGGCCGTTCAGTGCTTATATACGGGCGTGGGTCTTAGAGCAGGAAACCTTCCTGCCTGGAATCAAAGGCCAAAACCTAACAGCAAGGCAACTTGCGATGTACAGCGGAAATTTGGCAATAGAGAGACTGCTTTAGTTTCGTTTTATGGGTTGTAATATCATGTTACTTGTAGTATAGAGCTAAATACTTAGCCATACGGAGTATATAGTTACACAGTAGATGAAAAGCGCCAAGACGTGTAACTAGTTAATAAACTACTTCTCATGCAAGATTCCAATCTACGGTGGGCTTTCAGGCACGAAGCTCGTATAAATAATATCTATCGTATTTATTCAATATGGCGAAGCAAAGGGAGGCCTTATCACTCGGCACGATGGAAAGGATGCTCGGGTACAAGGTGGCAGTCCTTGATGGCCCCGATGAGAGGCAACAGTGGTTCTATTCGGACCTCACTCCGGTGCCAGAGACTGTCTATGAGAGGACCAGAAAAGAACTCGATGACTATCAGAAAAGGAATGAAATACTGGATCACAAAGGGCTGTCGAGAAAAAATAATTTCCCACCGTCTTTTACCAAGGTATGTTAGATTTATCCACAGGCCGCATAACTACTATGTAATGACTAATTTATTTATAGGCGATCGAGCATGGCCAAGACGTGATCCATATTGAGCGTAAAGGGATACTAGGCCTATACAGCTTCACAGCTTATATTCAATATGGCTTTGGCTTTGACTTGGCCCTCGTGTTGACCGAGAGTGAAGCCTTAAAGGTTCTGGCTACCACAAGGGCATGTAGCCATGTGGTGTCATATAGTTATGAGGATTAAATAGTTAACTAAAGTGACTACAGTTTCGAAATACCGCGTCAAACAATGCCGGGAAAAGCCTGACGCCCATACTACCACAAGAGCTCCGTGATATAATTTATGACTTTTCTCTTCCCTATGGTAAATGGCAAAAGCATGATGCGGATAATGAGTTTGATACCTCCACCTTTCTTACAGGATTAGGTGACCCTAGTGGCTTCTATTTTCCTCTGAGCAACAGTCTAGCAATACTCGCAGTGAACAAGCAAATACGCACTGAGGCCCTCCCTCTGGCCTACCAAAATACGTTATTCCACTTGGACGATATAGATGATTTTCTAAGATTTGGCATGGCGATTGGATCGATTGGACGGGAAAATGTCAGATCCCTGGAATTTGCTTGGGAAAGCAGAGCAGATTTCTCTACCCAAAGCCCTTCAGACTCAGGAGAAGAGGAACTACTGGGTCGGTTGCCGTTGATCCATGCGTCAAGATGTGTTAAGCTTCTAAAGGAGTTCACAAAATTGAGAATATTACGACTCTGGTTTGATAGCGATATATTAAACTACTTGCCCCTTAAAAATTTCAAAACTGATCTTGGGATATGTGGACTCTGTTCCCTCCGAGGTATGGAAAGGGTCGATATACTGGGTCTTGATATTGACCCAACGGCGTGCCCGATTGCTAAATGGCTCAAAGATACCCTGGAAAGCTCCTAAGGTGCCCGGATATCTGGGTGGTGATGGCGCTACCTATATATGGTGGACCTTACCCTATAGGCGTTTATGCATGTATATAAATGCAAGATTTTGGGGACAGGCCGACCATTTAATTTGTTTATATTTGGGTGTCATACAACTAGCACATCAACCTTAACTAAACTTCAGTTCCTGATTCCCGCAAATGAGGGAGTTTTTATCTAGCTAGCCAGCATTATCTACGGAGTATAGATGGAGCTCAGTGGAGATCGGATGTCTCATTCCAATAAACGAACTAACTTAATTTTAATATTCTAATACTAAGTAAAGAGCAATGCAATATGATAGTTCACATAGCTTTCATTTACATACGGGAGTTCTCTAGGTGGCACTTATGTGTGAAGTGTTCTGTAGTACCAAATTGAAGTCCCAACGGGTCCGCATTTTGGATCCGGGCAACTGGAGGAACTGGGACTCACCATGAAATGCAAAGGGAGCATGTATCTTTAGGAGTTCTGAACTTTGAGCTCCTCTCTCTGAAGTTGTACCGGACGCCCGAAATGATTCCTGGTGCTGGCGTTGGGATATCGATCTATATAAGGAGCGTCCTTGACCCTTCTGATCACTGCCATTCCAATTGTTCTGCATGCATAGAGTCGCGTTTCAACCGGATCTAGTCTCCTGAAGCAGAAATCAAAAATGAAGCTCTCAAGCGTATTTTACTACGCCGTCTCTCTCGGCCTCTTGGACGTAGGCTCTGCGGTATCTGTTCCAACGAGCCAGGGTATATCGGCCAGGCAGGAGGTATGATATAACTCGATGGTCCCTTGCGCACCTCAATTAAATGTTTACACACTTACATGGAAACCGTATAGCCTGATCTCTTCCCCCAAAGATGCTATCCCAACCCCTGCAAGAATGTACCATTCGATCCCCAATACAAAGACTATGTGTGCGGAGACAAACGACTTGGGCCTCTTGAACTACCAAAACGATTCCCGATATCGGCTGAACTCGCGACATACTCCAGGTTTGGCGACCATTGTGCGGATGAGTACCTCCTGAAATGGGTTGGCACCACGGATCCAAAGGCGTGGTTCAAGTACCCAACTGCCGACGGGTTCCTCCTCGATGCCAGCGGCAAACCGATACAGTCTGCGGTAACTCTGAGACCAGGGCAAAAGCTAGACCGGTTCGGCAACCCAACTGGCAAGTTCTTTGCTCCGTTGGGCGCACCATACCTCGAGCGCTCGCTGCCACCGGCCAACCTTGCTCCGGGAGCATCAGGCAAATACCCGGACAACTATCATGTGTACCTGGTCCAGAAGCCGCTTCAGGCAAGTCTGGGTCCGATAGCACCATGGTTTGGCCAACCTGGTCTCGGTTCACAGATTCACACCCAAAAGAGCGCCGAGGACTTGATGAAGGAGGGGTATTTGAAAGAGCTGGGTGAAGAGGACTTCAGTAAGCCCAGGGACTTTGCATATGACCCTCCAGAAGGCAAATCCAAGTAAAGAGGCTCAGCTGCTGGTTCCCACTTCTATACATATAGATAGTAACCGGCTTGATTCTCGGGTTGGAAGACATACCTAGCATAAAAAATACAATTCACTTTTATATTTGAATATTCCTATAACCGCCTCCATAAGTATCTAGACACTTATTTGCAAGCAGTAACAGCATGAGCGATGAAGGAGCTGCGAGTCATCGTGTTGATTGTTGGTTGTTGAATCTCGACATCAAAACAAGGCTCGATTAGTTGACGTTTTGGGCTGGCGGTTGACGGGCGCGCTAACTAGCTAACCAAACCCCTGCCCATAACTAATAGCTTCCAAGGTTAGGCGCCATTCGACCGATCGGCCATGTCCGACACTCTCATATACCTATGTATATATACGGATAGACCGCCGAGAGTCGATGGAGTTTAAGAGCTATCGTCATCCATCCAGTATACGCCTATATTGTTGTGTTCGTTAGTCTGACAGGCATCCTTTTGCTGTTCCGCCGTGCCCTGTTATGTTCCTCTTGAGGGGAAGCTTGTCAATATATTTCAACGGAGAACGTGGTATGTATAGAGGCTTGTTTGAAGAGCAGACAGGCTAGATTATAGATAGGTTCTCTAAGAAGACTGGGCGTCGGTGAGATCCGTATCGTGATATGGGTTGATCGCAAAGAACCAGTATCGGAACGGCCAGGAGTCCATGTAAGCAGCTATACAAGCATATGTGATTGACTGGCAGGCTGGGACGGGGTACCGGTGGCGGAACAGGCGTCTCTCCTGGCCTCTATATACTCAACATTTCATCCATAGACAGGCTGGTACCTGCATCAAGTTCCCGTCTGTGGAGGCATCACAAACGGCGAAACCGGAAATATTGAATGCCTCGGCGGGACTGGCGGCCAGATCAAGGACAGTGACGGCGCAGACGATATTCATGACGTCAACCTGGTACATATTCATTACCTGAGCCAGCCATTCGACGTGGAAACGGCAGTGCCCGCGGACGTTCTGGTGGGTGAGATCCAGGACAAGCCACGGGGGCTCCACGGGCACCTTTGCAGCAGAGAACGGAGGATTTCTGCCTGAGTTCTGGGGCGTAAAGAGGAATGTCCCCCTGTCCACGTTAAGGGGGCCTAGATTTCTCCCAAGGCGACGACGAGATCTCCTTAGTTGCGCGCCAGTTCAGGGGCGTATTGCTAGATTGGTGGATATTCTGAATACATGCACGGCTATGGGGCCGCCCATGGGTTTATTCGACTTTGATATTTGACCTGAGGCTGTACCTGGGAAGAAAGATCTCGGGGACTGCGCATTCACCAGTTCTCACAAGGGTTGATTAGCACTTAGTGGATATGTGGCCGTTGCCAGGCTCTTTATTTTGTTATTTTCAAATCATTGAGTTATTCTCCTCTATCTTGCAAACGTTATCAAAGTTCAGTATAGGGTGTTCTTTGCTTGTCATTCAAAGCATACCATTCGGTATCAACTGGGTATAAAACCCTCAAGGCTTAAAGAAGTATGCTTCAGCGCGTATCTGTCGAGCTATGGTAAAATGAGATGGATAAAAAGGTCAACGCCACGGGCTCCAGCTCCAGTTTCCACTCCAATCCTCTCGAGGTAAAAAAAGAAAAACGACCAGCAAGAAGTGAAAAGTGAGAAATGTAATTAAATTACACGCCTTGTTCTTTTCTAACAAAAAAGAGGGTGTGAAAATCATTAATTTGCTTACATGTTTGGCTGCATTTTGTGTCTTGTATGCAATGCATCAATGTGTGTGCCTTTAAAAAGAGGTAAGGAGAGTTCAAGAGAAAAATTTCTTTGCGGCAGCCTTGGCCTTGCGGTCCTGCTCAGCGATACTCTTCTTCACACGGGTGATCTCAGCAGTGATTCCAGCGTCGTTGGGGGCAAGCTTGGCAGCAGCTTCCAGATCTTTGAGAGCTTCATCCTCCTCCTTCAATCCAGCGAGAGCAATGGCTCGTCGGTAGTGGGCCTTTGCCCGGTCTGCATCCTTGGCTTTGGCATAACTGGCCTGGTCGAGAGCGTATCCAGCCCAGGTTTTGCCGTCGTTAAAGCGTTTCAGTTTGTTTGCTAGGAGGGCGGAGTTGGAGTGGAGAGCGAATCGGAGGGTCAGCATCTGAGCAGCAAGCTCTGGTGGGTCATTTTCGGCAGGCTCGGGATATTCATTGAGGTAGCGCAAGCCCTTTTGGTATTTCTCTAGGCCTAATTGTGCGTCACCGGCCTTGAAAGCGGTGTTGCCAAACTCCTTCAATTCAGAGGCAATCTTGAAATATTCTGGTCCTGTGAGCTCTTCGTTGTTGTCTTCTGGGTAATCTTCATACTTGTCGCCAGTCGGGTCGACAGGGCGCTGCGTAGCAGTTTCGTATTCTTCGCCCTTGATTTCACCGCAGGCAACAACCTTGACCTCTGCGTGTGGCTTGTCATCGGAGCTGGTGGGAAGCGCTTCCACCTTGCGGACGATACCCTTGCCGTTGATCACCTCGCCAAAGACAACGTGCTTGCCGTCGAGATGGGGAGTGGGAACGGTGGTGACGAAAAACTGGCTCCCATTGGTTCCTGGTCCGGAGTTGGCCATAGAGAGCAGGAATGGGCGGTCGTGCTTGAGGTTGAAGTTTTCATCATTGAACTTCTCGCCGTAGATTGACTCTCCACCAGTGCCGTTAAACTCGGTGAAGTCACCTCCTTGGATCATAAACTGCTTAATGACTCGGTGGAAGATGGAACCTGTAAAAGAACCGAGTTAAGACGTGGCTTCAAGGGGGGGAGCTGCTAGATAGATAACTGAACAAACACACCCTTATAGCTCAACGGCTTTCCAGACTTGCCCTCTCCCTTCTCGCCGGTGCAGAGGGCACGGAAGTTCTCTGCGGTCTTGGGAACGACTATCTCACGTTAGCTTCACACTTCTATATCTCCAAAGAGAGGAATATAGAGGCTAACCATCGTTGTACTAGAAGAGCACCCCAGTGAGTTAGTTCCATTTTCTATAGCTGCGAAACCCAAGCTTGGGTGAGGGCCTGTGAAGCTTACCAGCTCAAAGACGACCCTCCCTTCTGGTCTTCCACCTATCTCAATATCAAAGAACACGCGCGGGCGGACTCCTAGAGGCCAGTATCTGTTAGCACAATAGGCTCTGAAGGCTAATGATAAACAACCTGTTGGTACCTGAAGTTTCGGCCATGGCTGGTTAGAATAAGCACAATTGCACTGTACTGGTCGTGAGAAGAAGTAAAACGGCAAACAACTGTCTTGTTCTAGCGAAGAGGTATCTTTATAGCTATCGCGTGGGCAAGGTGAGCGAAAGTGAATGAAGTGAAGAAGAGAAGAAAGAGAAGAAGTTGTCTTGCTGGAGCCAAAAGGAGGTTCAAGAACCTTCTACGCCTTTTTTTGTCCCGCAGGGAAGGAGACAAACAGTGCAAACATCCCCGCGTAGAAGCCCTAAGCCCTTTTGGTTCCTCTTTGGGAAGACTTCAGCATGCAAAGTCCATAGTCTATGATACTACAACAACAGATAGAAGATGTCTAAGATACGTCTAACTGGCACTGGTACTGGCACTGGCACTCTCCTCTTTCTTTGCGGGATTGGTGTCGATCTCTAGAGTGACCTGGACCCCCCCTTAGCACTAGTGATATAGCCATGTATGTGCAAAAGGACGGAGACAAAGGGAGAAGTACACATACCGGTCCGTCGTTGACCAACCCTACTTCCATCATGGCCTGGAAGACTCCGTCCTTGACCCGGTCTGCGGCGTACAGACTCTGTACCCTTGAGTAAAAGTACTCATATAATTCTCGTGCTGTCGTCGGGTCAGCTGCTTTGTGGAAGTCCGGCTTGTTGCCCTTTTTCAGCGTAGCAAGCAGCGTGAACTGTGATACTGTACGGGACAAAGTACATGGATCAGCTTGGGAAGCATAGACGAGAAAAGTGCAAAAAAAAGGAAGAAGAAGAGGGAGTTTGTTTGTGTCGATGTCGCTCCCACGTACCGCAGAGGACCTCTCCCTTGATGTCTTGCACATTCCTCTTCCACTAGAAACGACAAAAAAGAAGAATAGGCTATATTAGCACTTCCGCGGCCAACTCCTATAACCAGCTGCAGTTGCTGCATCGAGAATATGGTGCATGGAGAAGGGTAGGTACATTTGCCCCAGTTTCATCGGGCCACATCTTCAGCTTCAACAGCTTGGCCGCAAGGGTATCTGCATCTTTCTGGGTATCATCTGGCCCGACAGCGGCAAACACCAGCACCCCACGGCCAATTGACGAGACAAGCTGCTTGTCAACAGTAACCGAAGCAGATGTCACTCTTTGTAAGATTGCTGGGCGTCAAGGGTTAGTCCGTCTGTACACAGCCGTGTTCCCAGGGCTGAACTTGGATGTCACACCTTTCATCTTATTCCCACGGGTGGAGATACCGGTAGATAGTCAGACGGGCGTTCATCTTATTAATTACACCTATGCAAGTGCCCCCAAATACTTAAGTCAGAATTGAAGCTCATCGTGAAAAAAAAAAACCCGCTATTAGTCAGCAGAATCATGGATGTACAAATATATAGTGAGTTACATGCAAGTCTCACAGACGAGGCTCTTTACAGTCCGATGGAGTACAGAGTAGCAGGATATTCTACAGTTATGAATCTCTGAAGTATGAAAGAATACACTCCCACATGCATTCACGACCTAACGAGGTATGGGGTACCACCTTGGACAGGCCTCGTATACCCTCGGAACATTCAAAAAGACATCAGTACAATTCTCAGACAGATTCCAAACTGCGCGGTGACACAACCTTAGCTTCTCGGGGAAGCATCATGAGTATCGCCTATACTGAACACAACCCTGGTATTCTATGTATAAACAGGAAGCCAACGCCCATCGGCAAACGGCATGGCGCTATCTGCGGCACGGTAATGCATATCGTATAGTCGTATCAAGAATTGAATTGCCAGTTTTGACTGATTGCTATTTGAATGGGGCTGGAAGGTCTCAGGCCGACGGCTACCTGCTTGCATATTCGACTTTCCCCCTCTCTTCATCCTACCACCATCGGGCAAAAGTTGGTAAACCTCAAATTCCTCCTTTAGGCAGTCGATATGTACCGTTATCACTGGAACACACACACAAAACACATGCCGGGCTGACCTTGTAGTAGCTTGAAACTCCTGATAGAAGAAGAAAATGAAGTTGAAGTTGAAAATATCCAGATTGGGCCGTAGTCACATGACCCGGTTATTTAGTTATTCCGACGGCCTCGGCTTCTTGGCATAAAAATCTCTTGGCGAGCTTCTTCGACTTGGAAATTGAACTGAACTGAATGAATGTAAACGCAACGAGAGCTTCTACGCATCTTCACATCTCCTTAACCTCGACCTGTACGCGTCTGTACGACTGTTATTTACGCCAGACAGAGTGCATTGCCTCAGCGCTCTGCTACAACCCTCCCTATTTCGTGACTGTTCCTCGCTACGAGTCGCCCTCAGACGGGGCTGCGCCTTAATTCACCATTCCACACAACCACCTTGAGCTTTTGAATCGAGTGCTCCCGAGAGCTAGGTTATGAAGACATCATGACTTCACGAAAAACGCAGCAAGAAATTGACAAGACCTTCAAGAAGGTCAGCGAAGGCATACAGTCCTTCGAAGGCATATATGACAAGATCCGAAGCTCCAGCAACGCCGCTCAACGAGACAAGCTCGAGGACAACCTGAAACGAGAGATCAAGAAACTCCAGCGGTTTAGAGATCAGATAAAGACCTGGGCGGCCGGTAATGAGGTCAAAGACAAGAGTCCGCTACTGGAACAACGGCGAGCCATAGAAACAGTGCGCAATATTCAGACCCCCTTACCCTCCCTTCCCTCCACTCTCCCATTGCCAGTGTTGGGGGAACGATACTGACACTCAGGCCCAGTGCATGGAACAATTCAAAGCTGTAGAAAAGGAGATGAAGACCAAGGCATACTCGAAAGAGGGGCTTTCGGCTGCAGCTCGCCTGGACCCGAAGGAGAAAGAGAAAGCGGACACGTGTGATTTCCTCTCGTCAACGGTCGATATTCTACAGCAGAAGATAGAGGCCATGGAAGCGGAGGAGGAGGCCATACAGGCATCAATGAAGAAGGGCAAAAAGGATATCGCCAAATCGAACCGGTTAGCGGACATCGAACGGTTATCGGAACGACATAAGTGGCACGTTGGGAAGCTGGAACTACTCTTACGATCCTTACAGAATGGCAATGTCGAAACGCAACAAGTGCTCGATGCCCAAGAGGCGATAAAATACTACGCTGAGGATGGTCACAATGCCGACTTCTGCGGTGAGGACGAAACAATCTACGACGACCTCCCCCTGGGAGACGAAGAAGTTCAGTTCGGTATGAACAACGACAACGACCGAGTATCATCACAAGACACCCAATCGATACAGGACGACGACGTAGATTCCCGACAAGCGAACAAGGGCAAATCGGATTCAGGTCCTGCAAGACGGTCGTCAACGCAGATGAAATCTCCCCTACCAGTCCTTGCCACCCTCCATCTCAACGGCCCTTCATCATCTTCGACAAGCTCAATGAAACCGGCACCTCCTCCCGCACGATTACCTGGAGAGACTCTCAAATACGCTTCTGCTGCTGCCGCCGCAGCTGCGAGTGATAAAGCGGGTGTTGGGATAGCACCCCTCCCTCCACCACCAGGTGCAAGCCCCGCCATATCAGCAGCACAGCTCGCTTCCAAAGCGTCGTCAATGGCATCGCCCCTGGTACAATCTGCACAGCCAGTCCAGGTACAGAGGCTGATGTCCTCCGCGGGCAGCGCAGACGAGTCAGGCAGTCAGTCGAAATCGCCTACCTTAAGTCCGAGTGTGACAGCAGCTAGTCGACCGGGGACCATGCCCCCGACACCTGCCATGTCGAAAATAGAAACATCCGCAGGGCCTTCAGTGTCAAACACGCCAGCAACAGCATCTAACAAGGATCGTACAGTTACCAACGGCCAAGCAAAGGGGAAGAGCGGAGAAGAGTCAGCTGCAGACGAATCGGTATACCATCTTCCTCCCGGTCTTCAAGATCTGATTCACTCCTTCGAGGTGACCAAGTCAAGGTCCACGGCTCCCCAGTCAACCTCTGTACAACGGTTATTGGTAGCCTCACATAGTACATGCCCAGAGCCCGGAGATGCGGAGAAACCCCGTCATTACAAACCTCAAACCCCATACACAACACCATTATACTACCCCCAAGAAACGTTACCCATCTTTGATGATCCACGACTATACGAGACCGGTAGGATAGATACAGACACGCTGTTTTATCTCTTCTACTACCGTCAGTCCTCGTACCAACAGTACCTGGCTGCCAAGGCCCTGAAGAACCAAAGCTGGCGCTTTCACAAACTGTATCAGACCTGGTTCCAGCGACATGAGGAGCCCAAGAATATTACCGAAGAATATGAACAGGGCACGTACCGGTTCTTCGACTATGAAAGCACCTGGTAAGCCATATGTTCACCTTTTCCCTTTCCGTCGTGTATCAGTTCAGGCCGCCAGTTCCTGGTGCCACCGCAGACATACATCGGAGTATACTAATAATATCACGGCTGTTAATAGGATGAATCGCCGAAAAGGAGATTTCAAATTTGTTTACAAGTATCTTGAAGATGATCTGTAAAACAAAGCAAACCACGCTCATCTAAATACAATTGATTACTGGAATCATAACCGACAAACCCGTCCCTATGTCAAAGTACACACACACTCCCATTCTTCCTAACCTACTTCTCGTGTTTTTTCTTCCCTCCACACTCAAGTCTCTTCCCACCTTTCCGTTATTCTCTCTCTTTTTTAGCTTCTTGTTTCTATTCATTGGATGAAAGGGAAAGGGAAATGAGTAAAGTGACATGATAGGCAATTCTTTACCTGGAACTGGATCCGGGCTGGGAGGGGAGTTTATTTCCTGTTTCTGCTATTGATTCTGAATTCTGATTCCTCTCTTGTGTGTGATGTCATTTTAATATGTTCACTTCTGCTGAGTCTTTCGATAAGTATTTGGCGCAAACCGGCAGACTTTGCTTTTTCTCCCCGTCCCTCTCTCCCTCTTCTCCCTCTACAACTAACAGGAACTACGCTAAAGGGCAATGTATCACCTGCATAAACCCCTTGACAACTCTTCGTGTTCTTTGGTCTCTGCTTCTTCTCGAATCCTTCTCTTGTGGGGGTTCAAGCGTAGATAGTATATAGTAGGGATCTGGGGGGCAGTGTTAAGAAAGGCTAGGGTGGACGGACAGGCCATCGGCAAATTTGAGGCTGTCCTCCTGAAAAACTTCATTCCTCAGGTCGGCAGAGTTCTTCGAGACTTTTCTAGTCTTCAGGAACGTCTTTCTCATCTACCATGTATGCATTGATATGCAGGATTTCGAGGCAGTGCAAGAGTCTTCTTAAACTAAACCATCTTTCAAGGTGACCCACCAAAAAATTAAACGACCAAAATAAAAGAGATGCCCATTCGCTTCTTGATGGTCCCATGATCATCCTGTAAGGCGACGTGTGTTTCTTGCACTGGTTGGTCAGCTTGATGCCCCTGTATCCGGCCATTGATCTCAAAGGGATTGTTCTTATGTGTTAGCAGCAACGAGTTGGGCATCAAGAAGGCAGGGCAGAAAAGGGGAGAAGATAAGGACACCTGACTATTCCATCTATGTAGCGAAACAGACGATATATGTAATATGTTTAAATAACTTATAAGATCGATGGTTCCGGCAAGTCTCTCCTATCGTCCTGATGTCTCTTTGCTGAACTTCATACTTCTTGTTGTAGTTATCAGCTCTATTGGCGGACCTGTTAGGCTTTTGATGGCCTCGTAAGAGCGAAAAAAAAAAAAAAATGAAAGGGCCATTCTCATTTGATCCTGATTCCCTGGTTTATGGGACAAGATGGATGCCTTGACGCCCTCCTTTTTTTCGTTTTTTGAATGCTTTGGAAGCCTGATACCTGAATGCTGAAACAAGCAAACACTGTGCCAGAGATTCATTGTAATGGCGGTTGTCAGTAAAAGCAGCACACGAAGGAGTCTGTATCCTTTGATCGTGTCCCAAAATTTCTCTTTTCTCATGCCTATTTTCTATTCATCATTTGAATCTCGAGTTCAGGTCGTCTCCCCCCAATGGCGAATGGCGAACTCTGGAGTCCGCCTCGCCCTACCCTGCCACGTCAGGCTGGCTTGCGGCATTTTTGGATGAAATGCCAGGGAGGTTTTGCACTGCCAGCAAGAAGACGAGAAGCAGGACAGAGTACAAGCCGGGACTGAGCATTATGGGCGCTGTTTGATGTCTTGCAAGATGTTGACTTGCGAGATGTATTGATATGCAGGAAAAAAAGAAAAAATAAGGGAGAAAAAAAAGGCGGAAAACATGATGGCTTAGATAAGCAATGCGGTCTCCCGTCTTTTTTTCCAAAAGAGGAAGAAGAACTACAACATCAACGACAACGAGAAGTACACACACAAACGACGGAGTACACACGCACTATCCCGTATGGACAATGAGTTGTTTGACATAGCAGCGACGGCAGCGAGACTGCTGAGATCAGAGACACGATGACGGTGATGGTGGTGACCACAGCAATCTCGCCAGGCCGCGACGGTCAGGTTTGAAACGCATGCATGCCACGTACCTGATACTGAAGGACGACGACGGCAACGATGGTGGTGATGATGAACGCTGAATGCTGCACAGCATCTGCCCGACGCCTGCAAAATTACTCCCCCGTCACCTCTGTATCAGAATTAAAATATATGATAATACTCCGTGCTTGGCTAACCAAGTCGACAGGTCGCACACCATTACACGGGGAAGAACTCTATTGCATGGGATCGAACAGCAGGCCCGTTATTGATTGACCAGGTCAAGGAATATCTCCATGGGGCCTGTGAGTGGCCGTCAGTTTTTTTTTTTTTTTTTTTTCTTTTTTTCCCTTTTGCTTTTGCCCGTCGACAGGGGTCTAAAAATGGCCCTAAAAAAGAACATCTTATTCTTGGTACTACCAGAGCGAAACGACCACTGCGTCTTGCATACACTCCGTCACCCGGTCTATCACTGCCAAATGATGGCTGGAAATATCCCTCATTCTTCAAACTCCATTGTCGGCCCGCCCCGTCATCTAATGTTTACGAAGACTCTTCTCCACCGCAAGAGTCCGTATCAGGTCAAAAGGCTAGTTTTAGCTAGCTAGAATGAGGCGAAGAGGATGGATGGATGGGATGGGAGGGCTGAGCAATCGCTCACTCGCACCCCCATTTCATACCATCTTGACGACCAAACACCAAGTCTATCCGCCTGTCTGCCCTTCCGTGGAGTTATCGTCTAAGTTAGCTCGCTACATGCGAACTTGATGCTAGCACTGCATGCTCGTTTGTAAAACCATCGAGCTCTCTTCCGCTTTGCCCGCTGTGGGACTCACAATGTCACTCTGTCACCCCTCTTCGGCTATTCTATTTCTGCTCAGATATCTGGTCCCCGGCGCCGATTGCCGGTTAGAAACCATTCTCCCCTGCATCGCCATTCCTTTGTTTAAGAGGTCTCTCTTATTACTTTATACTCAGCTGGCCATTCCACTGCCGCTGAGCTTATCTCCCATCAGTTATCAAGCCAGTATTCGTTTACAGCCAATACGTGCTTGCTTCACTTCCCTTCCCATGCCCCCCCCCAAGAGGAAAGATTCGGACGTTTCGCCTCTGAGGGCCATACAAGGAAAGAAACGCAAAAAGAAACTGCTGCAACGCAGCAAATGACTGGATCAGATAATCTGCAAGGAGAGGCGATTAAGAAGAGGATTGACAACTTGTCACCGGCTCGAAGACCGATGATTGATGGGGATATAGAGCTTCCCGCGCTCTTTGTCTGATGTGGTGCCGGATCACCAAAGGCGCGCTAAGTTAGGGGCTTTAGCTGCATGGAATCCATCGAGTAGGTCGACATTAGGACGTCTGGCGGGTCGGACATGTTGCTAGGCATC